TTTGTTCACAAAGCATTTAATCACAGAACAATCCTCTGAGGAATGTCAACAGAGTGAACAACATAATAATAATAATATATTTATAATATGTAAAAGCACTACAAACAAATGCACTAACAAATTATCATGTACAAAGAATATATGTATGCGAGATGTGGATGTACAGTTGAACTGAATAAAAATGGAATAAATGAATAAGAATAGATAATAATATTAATTAATAATAGATAATATCTATTATTTTATGTGTTTACAAAAAATCAACAAGATTAATATTTTGAAGACCTAGCATTACTATAGAATCTATAGTATAGATAGGTTTAGACTTTAGAGAAGATTTAGAAAAATAAAATGCATTAAGAAAAATAAAATGCATTAATTAAATTAAAGATTAAAAACATGTTGATACAAGTTTCCTGTCTGCAATAAATTTTAAATTGCTATTTTAAAAAATATAATGAACCATGCAGCTGGTGATAAATTCTTAAAAAAAAAACTTATCAGACAACAATCAAACAAGTGGCTGCATCAAGTTAAAAACAATTTTAAAAAACATGATCACGATCAATCAATGTCTCCATGAAACAATATTTTACTTACTGAAGTTCAAATATTATGATATAAAATAAATAAATGTAATGAAGAGGGACATGTTTGTTTTTGTAAGTTACATGACATAATTATTATTTAAAGTGCGCCAGACGAATCCACCAAATTGCAGCAACCACATTATAATAAAATCTAGATAAATAAATGAAAACATACGTTGTTCACCTTCCTATGAAATGAAAAACTTAACGAGTATCAACCAATCAATCAATCAACAAACAAAAGAGGAAACTCGTCTGGACCCAGCATCCGGATGATGAGAAAGAACAGACGACAAACCGACCGCCTTCCGGAGAATAAAATACCGCGCTCTGTCCTAATTTCAGATTTTCAACGCGGATGCCAGCGATCGGAGATGAAGAAAAGCAAGTGGAGCGATTTGAATTTAAAAAAAGGAAACAACGCATCTGCAAATAATCACTAACTTTACGGAAACTTCAATATCTTTAGAGCGATAAATTTTGAGAAAACAAAACAGACAATTTGACAACAAAACGACAGAAACACGCCAAAACCTTTCTTTGTTGTATTAAAAATTCCAATTACGTAGATCACGTGATAAGAAGCAACGTTCCTATTGATTGACGACCGACCAATGAGAGGGCCGCTTTACAATCACGTTGCATACACTTTGACAGTTACTACGCAGCAACAACGGAAAGCTCATTAATAATTTATCACCTCATGAATATTTAACTAAATTTTCGATCGTCGATTTACTCACTTCGAATATGCGTTCTACTTGCATCGATGCCATTATTACGCAAATTAAAAAAAAAAAACTTGAAAATGTCTCAACTCTTACGAGGTGCTGTTTAATTTTTTAATTGACAATTGAGTGAAAGTTTTGCCTAAAAGTGAAAAAGGTTTGTCTCCATTAAATTACGCAGCGCTTCACCTCACTTCATAAAAAAGCATTCTATATATACGTAGTGTGGCGTAATAACAAGAGTTGATAATGATTTCTATTCAAATTCAAATAAATGAACTTTCAAGTAAATTTATCTCGTAGAAATGCAGACGATTGTTAACATTTTAAAGATATATAACAGTGTATATGACTAAACTAGTGCAAGACAAATTCTCACGTTAGCAAACGTCTAATTAAATTTAAAAGGCTTGGTCGGTAGATACACCGCAATGATTTTGTTGATTTGTTAGAATCGAATTTCAAGGTTGGTTTTTGCTTCAAAATTCCTTTTTTGGTTGATTGTACTTGATTTCTTTCATTAGAACTTTTTTCAAATAATGGTTTTTATGTAAAAAACATTTAATCGCTTGTTGTTAATTTGTCGTACACTCGTACATTGCAGTTAAAAAAATGTACTCATTCATTCATTTATTGTTTTAAAAACCAACAACTCTTCCATTATGTAATGATCATTTCTCGCCATCATAATATAATGATTGTAATATAATATAATATGCAATAACATAATCTAATCATTATGTCTTTCTGATCATTCACTGGCTGTTTTGTTGACTGCAGGCATGATAATGATTAATAAACAAGTAATAGTGTAATAATAAAAAAAAAATTAATATTAATAAACAAGTTTCAATGATTTTGTTTCTACATTTCCCCCCTTTTGTTGCCTGCTTTGCTAAATTAATTAGAGTTACTGACTTCTAGTTGCTGTTAGTTTACTTACATTTATTTACTTAACATGGCTTGCTCACTGCTGCTGCAAACATGACCTGACAGTAACAAACACCCACACAGTTCCTTTTCTCCTTTCTTCTTACTTTGTATTTTAAGTACTTTCAAATTCAAATAATACTTTGTGTGTATGTGTGTGCGCGCGCGCGTGTGTGTGTATGTGCACAATTTTTGGGCTCAATCATGTTCAAATTATTTATTTTATAAGTGGCTTAAGTTTTCCAATTCAAATTTAGAATTAGATTAGCATTAGGATTAGGCTTAGGATTAGCATTAGATTAGATTAGACACTCAATTTCTACTTATGTATATTGGTATTTTTCTAGCTTTTATTAAAAATTAAAGTGTTGATCTCACATTTGTTCCTAACTAAGTGACTAGCTCCTCCCTGTTTTGCCCATTAGTCCTTAATTATATTTTTTTTTTTTTCAATTTCATTTCTATAATTTTGGTTTATACTATTTTTCTTTCATTTATGCAAATGGAATTTTTGTTAATTTCAGATATTTTATGAGTTACCAGAAAAGTTTCAGTGGTTCGTTGAGAGAATGTACCAACAGCAGCAAGACACCTGAGATCAGCAAGGGAAGTCAGATGGGGGCCAGCAAAAATGAACATTTCGATCCACATACTGTTGAAGTATATTTTCTTTTTTACTTGTAAACTCACTTGTTACTCAAGAGAACTCTGGTATGAAATTTTTTTAAAAATCTGTTTGTAGATCGACAGACATCATAAAATTTTTACATCCCTGGTGTCTGGAGCAGTTGCAGGAGCAGTAGCCAAAACAACCATTGCTCCACTCGACAGGACAAAAATTAATTTTCAAGGTACATTCAAATCTTCTTTATGGTTCAATTGAGTTTTATGTAAAAATAATTTCCATAAGTTGCTTTGTGCGACATTCCATGCTGATCACCCCCTCAATAAAAATGGACTAACTTATTCATGATGTTTGTTCAGTGAGCACAGACAAGAGGTATTCATTTCGGGGGGCATTCAGATTTGTCAGGCGGACGTACCAGCAGGATGGTTTCTTGGCGTTGTATCGAGGCAACTCGGCCACTATGGTAAGAATCATCCCATACGCGGCCATCCAGTATTGCTCGTTCGAACAGTACAAACATTTCTTACTGAAAGAAAATGAAAAGTTTGTGTGTGCTACACTATTTTGCTCTAATTTGAGTTAGGTGTGTGACTGTCGTACACCTTAACAATTGTCATTTAGGTTCCTTCCTCCATTGCAAAGGTACTTAACGGGTTCTTTAGCAGGTTCATTTTATTGAAATAATAATCCGCTTAGATTTGTTAACTTGACCTAACTTTAAGTTTAATCACATGGACTGACATTAAAGTTCATCGCATGACTTATGATTGACATGATGACCACCAAACTGCTTACCAGGTGTTACGGCAGCCTCTGTCACCTACCCTCTCGATGTTGCCAGGGCTCGAATGGCCGTCACGCAGAAATGCACGTAAGTTCAGTTGGGGTCGGGGTGATGACGATGAAAATTATAATGGTGCTTCTCCTACATATTCACTGCTCTCACGCACAGTTACAACACTCTCATGGAGGTCTTCATGAAGGTCTACAGAACGGAGGGCCTGCTGACGTTGTACAAAGGGTTTGTGCCATCGTTGCTCGGCGTCGTCCCTTACGCCGGCACCAGCTTCTTCACGTACGAAACACTCAAAAAGTGGTATCTAGGTGGGTTGGGCCCTTTCCTCCCTGCACCACATGCTCCTAACTTTATTATTTTTTATTATTTTCAATCTGCCACTCATGTTTTGTTTATCTTCTTATCTGTGCAACATCCGTTAACGAATCATATTCACTCAGCATTAGCCATCAACCAATCACATTCACTCAACGTTATCTGCCAGCCAATCGGTTAATGAATTTTTGAACGAATATTAAACAGAGAGAACTGACCACGCCCCTCTGAGGCACGTCCACAAGCTGTGCTTCGGTGCTCTGGCAGGTCTCCTCGGCCAGTCTGCTTCCTATCCACTCGATATCGTCAGGAGGAGGATGCAAACTGCTGGTTCATTCATTCATTTGTTCATTCGTTCGTTCATTCATTCATTTATTCGTTCGTTCGTTCGTTCATTCATTTATTCGTTCGTTCGGTTGTTCATTCATTTATTAACTATTTGTTGCTTGCTCGGTTGATTAGTTTTTTACATTCCCATCTATTTATGTAATAAATTTGTTTTTCACAAAACCCATCAATCAATCATACTCATTCTTCAACATCTACCAACCAATCAGGAGTTCTGAATAAGTCAAGCATTTACACATCTCTCTGGAGCACCATGCTTTACGTTCTGAAAACAGAGGGACTGAGCAAGGGCCTCTACAAAGGGCTGTCCATGAATTGGATCAAGGGCCCCATTGCTGTGGGAGTTAGCTTCACCACGTACGAACTCGTCCTCTACGAAATTAGGAAATATGTCTTGCATCAGAAGAACATCAAACCATTTTCATCGTCGTCCTCCGATGATTTGTGATTCAGCTTCTTTGGTTTCTTCTTCCTCTTCGCTGGCTGGTTTGCTGCTGCTGTTGCTGCTTTACACTTCTGGCTCTGTCGCTGACTGATTGATTGATTGGTTTTATGGATAGCCGATTGATTGATTCATCTCTCTGCATTCATTGTTTTTTTGAAATCTTTATGCGTATAATATCTTTGGTTTGTTAGTTCTATTTGGGATTTTATTTCCTTCTGATTCATTTAAAATTTCTACATCGGAATTATTTGTTCGTCTGTCTGTTTGTTGTTGTCGTCGTCACGTGATTAGTGAATTGAAAAGTTCCGAATGTTTGTTTGATTGATTGATAGGTTGAGTGATTGATTGGTTGATGGATTGGTTGATGGATTGAAACTTCTCCCTATTTCGAATTTCACGTGATATTGACTTATCGTTAATGTTATTATTATTATCATCGCTACCGTTAGCATTAAGTAGAATTCTTTCATCGATTGTGTTTGCTGCCTTGTCCCACGAGTTTGCAAGCGCCTTTGTTAGATAATGAACAACAATCCGCACGTTTTAGTCACACTCACCATCGTCGTCGTCGTACAGCGTGTAGTTTTTATCGCTTGAATGGTTGAATTTCAATCAGATTGGTTGATTGTCTGATTGGTAGAATAATTGATTGATTGATTGAATAATTGGTTGATTGATTGATATTGTTATTTCGTACCTAATACAAATTTAAAGTAATTTATTGTCCTATCAAGTCAAGTCAGTAATGGTTTGTTCAGTTTACTTGAGTTCAGCTACAAATGAGAAATTTAGAGATCAGATGTTTCATCAGTGCGCTGAGGTTGAAGTTCCTCACATCATCTCCCATAGTTGCTTCCTTACATAATGAGATAAATGCAGCGTTGACATCAATGGAATCACACAATGCCGATGGATGCTCACATGCTCGCGCGGTTATTTTGTTACATCTGATCATTGAATAAGTATTTAATTTGCGACGTTTAAAACATGTGTATAATATAAATTTATTCAATCATTAAGAACATTTATCTTTTTGTATTTCATACGTTTTAGATGTTAACTTGTTTGTAATTATTTTAAACTATTTCGAAATGAAAGTGCAACTGAAGCTTTCCAGCCAGTGGTTCATGACGCTGCATCTCAATGAAAACAACCCATACTAAACTAACTGCATGTTCAACAATAACACATACACACACATACTGACATATATACAAACATACATACATACACATACAGACATACATTCACGCACATGCATACACAGACAAAAGAATATTTAGATGTAGTACTTTTTTATCTTTCATAAAATCAGACTCTGAAATTTTTACCGCATGCAAACTGACAAACGAAAATATTAAAATTCGCTGAATAGTGTGTAAAGTAGTGAGAATGAGGTACCTACCTACCTACCTACCTACCTGTATAAAATAATACATTGAATGCTGCATGCATAATAGGATAAAGCTTCGTCATGTGCAGTTGTTTTATTTATTTATTTCAAAAATTTCCTTCAAAGAAACAACAAAGAAAACAATTTTTTAGCACCTCTAACAATTTGCTCGCATTATCAGTGATATTTTCAACAGTATATTTATCATTATTATTGAAAATATTTAATTAATGATAAAGAAAATAGAAATTAAATAAAAAAGCTTAATTGAAAAAGTCATGTTCGTATTTGCTTGTATCATGTTTGAAACATGTTTGTTTTTTGTATTGTGTGCGTGATGCGTGTGTGCGCGCAGTTAGTTTTTTTCTAAACTTTAATTTAATTCGAGCCATGGCTTGCGTATGCTCAATCAACTCAGATTTCACCTTCCTACGCTCAACTAACTCAATCCCTAGCCTACCTGTTGCTTGTTAACACTGCTCATTTTACACTCTATATTTGTGGTTTTATGTTACAAAAGTAGAAAAAATTGAGAAGAATGGACAAATGACGACAATATAACAGCAAGTGCATGCATGTATATGTGTGTGTGTGTGTACGTATGTATGTTTTTAACTTACGTGTATATGTTTATAATAATTAAAGGCGTAAGTCTTAAATAATTATAGAACTAAGTCATGTGCAGTTGTTTTTTTTATTTATTTCAAAAATTTACTTCAATTATTTAAACAAAAAAAGACAAAGAAACAAAAAAATAAACAATTTTTTAGCACTTCTAACAATTTGTTCGCATTATCAGTGATATTTTCAACAGTATATTTATCATTATTATTGAAAATATTATTTAATTAATGATAAAGAAAATAGAAATTAGATATAAAATTTACATCACAAGATTGTTCCTAGAATTACATTATTGTCTTAACTACCTATGAAATTAAATTACTCTCAACCTTAGTAATAATAAATTAAAATGTGTAATGAAAATAAAATTACGCTCAGATTCTAATGTTTATGTATGTGTGTGTGTGTGTGTGTGTGTGTGTGTGTGTGTGTGTGTGTGTGTGTGTGTGTGTGTGTGTGTGTGTGTGTGTAATACGCTGATGCGTGTAGTGTGGGTGCAAGAAAAAATAGAAGCGATAAACTTACGCCTTAAATTATTATAAAACTTTCTAAACAAAAGAATTAAAAAAGTGAACGGCATTTAGTGGGAAGCCCCCTCGCCACGTCAAGGCAGCCGTTCATGAGGGGGTTAATAATAAGTGCACGCGTCTCAAATTAGTTATATAAATAATCCTATCTACCTATTCAGATGCCTTAGCTAATAACGTCTAAGCCTCAGCTTACCTATTCATTACAATTAAGCCCTAGCTTACCTAAAATTATAAAACTCAAGAGCCCAATTCATTCGCCAATCGGCCCCACCCCACCACCTACATAATGCCTTGGGCTCCAACTTAGTAAAAAAAAGTAAAACTTAAACCCTAAACCTATTAATGAGTATGTGTGTACAACGTAGCCTTAACTTACCTATTCATTACATTACGGTCCTAGCTTACCTAAAATTACAAAACTCAAGAGCCCAATTCATTCGCCAATCGGCACCCACCCCACCACCTACATAATGCCTTGGGCTCCAACCTAATAATAATAATTTAAACTTAATAATTAACCTACTTATCGATACACTTACATTTAATTTACATTACAAGATTGTTCCTAGAATTACATTATTGCCCTTAACTACCTATGAAATTAAATTACTCTCAACCTTAGTAATAATAAATTAGAATGAGTAATGAAAATAAAATTACGCTCAAAATCTAATACATGTGTTTATGTATGTATTTGTGTGTGTGTAATTTGCTGATGCGTGTAATGTAGGTGCAAGAAAAAATAGAAGCGATAAACTTACGCACCTACCTATTCAACTACATTAGTGTTGGATGCTTCCTATCTATCCTACCTACAATTAAAATTACGCCTATCTAACTTACCTATATAGCTACCTAATGTAATGTGTGTGTTTGAGTAGGTGTGCTAAATGACGCATTTAAATAAATAAAAATAAAAATGGTAAAATAGAAAGAAAGACTAAAACGTAGAGAGTAAGACCTGTAGGAATAAAAATATATTCAACAATCAATAAATAAAAATCCCACTAAAACCAGGAACCGCCGCGTACCTGCTGAATGTAATGTATGTTGTGAAACAAAACAAAACACAAAACAAAAAACACACCACAAAGTAGAGTAAAAGAATAGAAGTCCCTAACCTACCTATGTAATTAAATTACCTTATGCCCTAGCCTACCTACATAATAAATTAATTTTTAATCTCTCCTACCTATGTTTTACTAACTTAACTAAGACTCATGAAGAAAGAGAAAAAGGAGGAAAACAAAACATAAAATATTACCACACAAACAAACATGATGTATGAGATGTATGTAATGTATGTATGAGCAACCGCTAGAGAACCCACCTAAAATAAAAATACCACATACACACAAACCACAGACAAACACGCAAACTCTATATAACTCTATATAACCGCGCAAACTCTATATAACTCTATATAACCGCGCAAACTCTATATAACTCTATATAACCGCGCAAACTCTATATAACTCTATATAACCGCGCAAACTCTATATAACTCTATATAACCGCGCAAACTCTATATAACTCTATATAACCGCGCAAACTCTATATAACTCTATATAACCGCGCAAACTCTATATAACTCTATATAACCGCGCAAACTCTATATAACTCTATATAACCGCGCAAACTCTATATAACTCTATATAACCGCGCAAACTCTATATAACTCCATATAACCGCGCAAACTCTATATAACTCTATATAACCGCGCAAACTCTATATAACTCTATATAACCGCGCAAACTCTATATAACTCTATATAACCGCGCAAACTCTATATAACTCTATATAACCGCGCAAACTCTATATAACTCTATATAACTCTATATAGTAAAAATAAATAAAGAAAATAAATAAAGAAAATATAAAATAAAGAAATAAAAAAATGAGACCAGGCGCTAAGACAATGGTACAAATCGCCTGATCTGATTTCAACGCATTTTCGGCTCCTATTTATACCAGTTCCATTCATATGTTCTTATCATTTCAATCATTGACATCATTAAAAAACAATATTTAATGTATAGGAAACATTATTATATGTGTTTAACAACAATATATTAACTATACTAGAATGAATTCAACGACCGCCTACGAACTTCCTGATGGGATTGTTTGAGAACGTTTACACAGTACAGGCTTATCTAGTTGAATTCAAATTTAGTATTGAGATCGCTCCTTTTTCACCTAACATTTGAAAAATATAAATATGTAGTAGTAGTAGCAGTAAGTAGTAGTAGTTGTAGTAATGCTGTTCTGGAGGTTATCCAAAAAGCATGTTGTCTTTATTTCATTCCAGAAAATTCTAATAAGGAAAATTGAAAAAACAAACTTTAAATTGATTAATGCCAACAATTCGGTAGAATTCATACAATACTGTGTAAAATATGGTCTCCTTCCAACATACACACACATATATATATATAATATATATATATATATATACATACATATAATAATTGAGTTGTGTTATCTTAAACCATATTCGGCAGGCTATTGACGAGTCTCTTGAGAGACGAAACGTACGTCTGGCCTATGGCGGGTAATGGTTTACTAATTATATATATATAATTAGTAAACCATATATATATATATATATATATTACAGTAATCACAACAGTAATCAGTGTGATATGCGTATGTACAAAACTGCATTTCAATATTTTTTACTATTTGAATGACGTCATTTCCGCCAACGATTTCGCAACTGAGAATCAATCCTATTTTAATAATTCTTTTGTTGGACACTCGTAAGTACATATTAACGCGCGCGGTTCAAATTACTCGGAATGAATTCAAAATATTTTGTACCACACGCCTTACTTCACTTTAATTGTATAAATTAAATGTATAAATATATTTAATTACTGCAGATATCTATTTGGTAATATAATATTTGGTAAAATTTATATTATAGGAATCGAATGCAATGTTTACACCGGTTAATCCACCATCGTACATTTCAATATTTCTTACTATTAAAATGACGTCATTTCCGCCAACGATTTCGCAACAAAGTGTCAATCCTATTTTAATAATTCTTTTGTCATTACTTAGAGAAATTATCATTTTAATAAACTCAAAACAAATATTTGGTTAAAATTTTAAAAGTTGTATCCGGCTGGAACGCATACATTCAAAATTGAAATTATAGTTTGAATGAATAACTGAAAATATATACAAGTAGAAGTACTTCTACTTGTATATATTTCGACTCGTTGAATGGGAGTTTATGATTTTTAAACATAATTTGTAGAAAAAGATACTGCCATTAACGTTATTGAGCTTAATTTTTTTTGTTTGGAAATTAATAATTTTTTCATTTAAATCCAAATTAAAAATAAATTCCTCAAGTTTAATATGTTCCATAATCATGGACAGTAATTTAAATTTAAACTAAAGCAACTATTCACGTGAATACCGGTTTGAAATAAAAACCAAAATTTCCTAAATATAGAATTTGTTTAGAATTAAAACTGTGAATTGTGCCAGTTGTACCGAAACATTCGGATGCCATTTCACCGGCTGGTTGTCGATTGCAGTGGCGAAATTTTATTTGACTAATACGTTGATTTTGTCGACAGATGGGATTGTGACCAATTTAAGGGGCAATAAATACATGGTTGTATGTAAATGAATGAACGAATTAATTAATGAATGAACGAATGAATGAAAGAACGAATGAATGAACGAATAAATGAAGGAACAACTAGCGCATAAACAACTATCATACGAACATAACGACCCAAAAAAGGTCGTCAGCCACAAGAAAACATTTAAAAAAATTCTCCCTCCCATTCAACGGGTCGAAAAAATGTGCTATTTAAATATATACGCGGCCCTTCAAAGGTCAAATAATTCTCAATGCGGCCCTTCAAGGGTCAACTAATTCTCAATGCGGCCCTCCAGAAGTCAAATAGTTCTCAATGCGGCCCTCACAGTTTGTGTGTGTGTGTGACCAAAACCAGTATGTTTGTATGTATGTATGTTTGCATTTGCACACAAACATGTACGCCTTTTAATAGAATAACATTAACAAGTGCGAACATTACTCTAGTGATTCATTTCACGACCTATCCAGTCCAAACCTGTTTGTACTACTACAGCTTCTCTCTGAAGAACTGAACAATGCAAATATAATGTATATCTATATAATAATGCAAATGTCATAATGATTTTATATAATAATATTTAATATAATATATATCAATTATCTCTGAGACGTTCAAACGGACTCACATTGAAATCGTGCACTGAACATTTCATTCACACATAATTACGGCTTAAATTCACTTTTAATATTTCTGAACCTCGTTTAGTGGATTTTCAGCATTGGTGGTTTTACCGACTTACCTGTATTAGTATTATTATTTAAACAATATATTTGTAGAAACGAAATGACACGTTGCGAAAATGAAACAACAGCTTGCATTCGTTATATTGTTCACTTTCATGTTAAATTTCCTCTCGAACGTTCTTTCAAAATGCCGTGAGAACACTTCAATTCGTATTGGAATCATCCTACCTGTAGATGACGATCGGCCGTTCGCCATCCAGAAGGTTCTGCCATCAATCAGGGAAGCATTGTTGAGTGCAGAAGTAAAAAAACTTCTGCCCAACTGCACTTTTATTTTGCATTCTATGAACTCCAAGTGCAACGCCATTGCTGCCCCTTTGGCGGCCTTCCATCTGATGGACGTCAAGATGGTTCACGTGCTCTTCGGTCCCGTCTGTGATTATAGTTTAGGACCAGTGGCCAGGTCGGTAAATTGACAATAAAATATAAAAAATAAAAATTTCTGCTTTCAATAAATTGATAAAATTTATTATTTATCTACAAAAATAAACTATGATTTATTAAAAATGTTAATGATTGACTTAACAATGGAACCAGATACAGCCCCTTCTGGAATGTTCCCGTGATCACGCCTGGTGGGATGGCTTATGATTTTGATGTGAACAGGGGCACCTCTGAGTCAGAGTTTAAGATGCTGACGAGGATGGGCATCAACATGGACAACCTGGCCATTGTAACATACAGCCTGCTCAATCAGTTCCACTGGAAGTCTGTCAAAGTTTGTTCGTTTGCTTGATAAGTTCAATTCAGTAGAGCTCTGCCCAGTTGAACTTTTTGGAAACTCAACGACAACAACATGAAACCACAACTGCAATTGCTGCAGAATATTAATGACAATATCAAACTATAAAAAATAAAATTTTCAAAAACAATAAAAAAATGAGAAATAATCTCGAGGAAATAAACACATTAATGTATGACAACTGCTTTTGATAAACATAATTTCATCTATTTTATATAAGTCCAAACTCGATCTTATTTTTTTCAATAGGCAGTAGAGCTCTGTGCGGTTGCAAATATTCAAACCGCAACCCTTGCTCATTAATGTAGCTTTAGTGTGCGCTTAACCGCTCAGGGCTCTCGTAGGCAGTTCTGTAAAGAACGAAATCTCTCTAATGAAACGCTAACAGCTTCTGTCGGAATCAAGCAAACTTTCTGAAATTTAAAATATCTTTGTTACCTGACCAGCCTCAATATGTGGAGTTTGCTCTCTAATGTAGCTTATTGGTCATCAGAGACGAGTTTATTCCCTTTTCAGTAAAACGTTTTTTTCTGACAAACTACCGACGCAATTTTTTGACACGATCAAATTGATGGAAACGTTCTTCGTAATATATTTAGTACAATCATCTCGATCAAACATTTAGCGCTATATGATCGATTTAAGTTTCGAAATCACGTTATAGACAGGAAAGGAAAGATTGCTCACAACAGCGTCCAAAAAAACTAACGCTATAAAAATTTCAAACTTTATTTTTAGCCTGCGGTGAGGTAACATGGTTCTTGTGTGGAAATGCGACCGTCTGCATCTCTTCCACTCGATGGTTTGGTTCATGTTGAAAGAATATAGCCTGGTTGAAAGTTTCAATTCAATTGGAATGCTTGAAGTGCATTATGATGCGCGTGATTCACTTTTTGATCGATGAACACATGCGTCACTGCAAAGTCACCTACGCTAAACCATTATTCTTGTTTCGTCATCATTTTCAGCTCTTATATTCAGACTACGGCTTCTCCGAGGTTATATCGAAATTTTGTTACATCGCAATAAGCGCCATCAGAGCCAAACTGACGGAACTGCTGCACATTGATGAGAAGAAATTGGAGCAACACGAGGAGGTGGAAGACCTCAGCAAGATACTGCTCGAGAGTGTGGGCAATGAATATTCCAGTAAGCTCATTTGTTGTTGTTCACGTCGGCTGGTTGTCGTGATGATGGTTGGTTGATGATGATGATGGTTGGTTGGTTGATGATGGTTGGTTGGTTGATGATGATGGTTGGTTGATGATGATGATGGCTGGTTGTTGATAATGATGGTTGGTTGATGATGATGATGGTTGGTTGATGATGGCTGGTTGGTTGATGAGGATGGTTGGTTTTCTCACCATCACCTTCTTCATTCCTGTCTAGTAATTCTCCTTTGTAACTCCCCCGAAACAATTCGCAAACTCATGTTCATCGCCCACGACCTGAACTTTGACAACGGAGAATATGTCTTCATCAACATCGACCCCTTCAGCAAGTTGGTGACGATAGTGGAGCGATGATGACGATGATGATGATGATGACATTATGATGACGATGATGACGATGCAGTCAGTCCCTGCTGTTGAGACCATGGTACAGAGAAGATGACACCGACGAACAGAATGAAGTGGCTCGCAGGGCCTTCGAAACTGTCCTCACCATCACACTGAAGATCGTGCAAGGTCCAAACTATGAGGTTGGCATTATCCTCCCTCATTTTCACCTATCAACTTCACTGCAACAAAAAAATTTTCAATGTTTTTTCTTTTTCCGATTGTTTGTTCGCTTGCCTCTTTGTCTTCTATGCATTCTTCCTCTAGATGTTTGTATGTATGTAGAACTTGTGTATGTTTTTGCACTGGCATTCGTTTACGCATCGTTGTAATTATAGTTGTTAGTGCTTGAAGCGATGAATGTGTCTCTGCAGAACTTCTCAAGGATCATCAAGGAGAAAGCCAATGAATTCTTCAGTGAAACGGTCTTCACGGAGAAGGAGGAGGTTCACATTTTTCATTACTCCTTTGGTCGTTCGTTCATTCGTTTGTTCATTCGTTCTTTAATTAATTCATTTACTTTTTCAATAATTCAGTTTCTTTTATTAAATTGCTTCATAAAAAATTACTCACTTGACCGGAAGTTGAACGTCTTCGTGCCTCTCTTCCACGACGCGGCTCTCCTCTACGCCCACGCCGTCAACGAGACCTCCCCGCAGGACTTCATCGACCCCAGCAACGGGGCTGCCATCCACGAAAAAATGAAAAACAGAACCATTAAAGGTCGGCGGGATTTCCTTCAACCAATCATGTTGTTTTTTTTGTGTTGCCAGTAACCAATCACATTGTTTGACGTGAGACTCTTCTGACCAATGACAACTTTCCAAACATAATGCTAAAAATAGCGTCCAATCAAAAACAGGAGTGACGGGCGACGTAGTCATCGACCACCAGAATGACCGAGCAGTTGACTTTTCAATATTTGATATGGACCCACAAACTGGTGTATTTGAGGTTCCTTCCAACATTTAACATCTAACTAATTTCAAATAATCAACTTGTTACATAATTTAATACCTTCTATTGTGAACATAAAATAAACTGTACTCGAGTTTAACCAAAGAATATTAAATAGTATTGAAAAGAAGGAAATGTCTTTGGGCGTATTCATCGATTTGTCCAAAGCTTTTGATACGATAAATCATGATCTACTTCTGAAAAATTGCATCATTACGGTTTTCAAGATAAAGTTCATAACTGGTTGACATGTTATCTCCCAAATAGAGCTCAATACGTTTATCTAAATAATTTAAATTCCAATACTTTACCAACATCATGTGGGGCTCCCCAAGGTTCGATCCTCGGACCTCTTCTGTTTGTGTTATTCGTCAATGATCTACCTGAGGTTTCATCAATCTTCAACTGCATTCTTTTTGCGGATGGCACTAATATTTTTTACTCTCCAAGCGATTTAAACCGGGACAACAACTTGATAAATCGAGAATTAAAAAAGTTTGACAATCGATTAAAAACTAATAGGTTAACAGTTAACACTGGAAAATTGTTTGAACAAAATATTATTAACCAAGTTGATTAAATTAAATTTTTACGTATTCACTTACAGAGTAATTTATCTTCGGTTAGCCATATCATTTTTGTAACTGGGAAAATAAATCAGTTCCTTGGTATTCTGTATAAGTTGAAGCCTAAATTGACTGCGCCAATCTTAAAAATTTTATTTAATTGTTTCATTTATCCTTATTTGTCTTATGGTATCTTAATATGGGGCAGTGGATCTACTTTGAATATTTTATATCTGTGGGGACATATTCATGTTTTATTTTCAAATTTGTGAATTTTAGTTCCTGCAGAAATTTCATTTTGTCACTTCATATTTTACATTTTATTTTAGGTTGGCAGTACTTGTTGAGCTAGTCGTAGCTCGTTACGGTCTCCCGCTTGTTTGGCAAATAAACGAATAAAATAAAAAAATGAAATAACGTGAAATAAACGGAATTCTTAAAAGATTAAATATTTAATGAAAACATGAGCGCAGGAGGCCGGCGTGTTTTGTTCAATTAAGAATGAATTGATGATGAAAAGAGCCATACACTGGGGTGGTCTGCTGAAGCATCACGAGGTCCCCTCTGCGGTGCCCAAGTGTGGATACAATAGAGCTCTGTGTCCAGAGGAGTGTTAGTTGAGTCATCTCAATTGGTTGAATGAGTGAGTGAATGATTGATTGATGTGCGATTGATTGATTGAATGAATGATTGGCTGGTGGGTGGGTTTATTGATTGTCATATTAATTAATGATATCTTCTCGTTGCCAAAATGACGCCAGATAGCATGTCGACGTTCAGCATCATCCTCATAGTCGCCATCTCCGTCATCTTCATTATCGCCGGGGTGGCCGCGTCTATCTGCTACAAGTAGGTCCTCCTGGTCTCTCCGCGTTACGTTCGGCTGCTGCTGAGTGCCTCTTATGATGACGATGGTGTGGGTGCTGGTGGCGATGATGATGATTTAGATGATGATGATGATGGTGATGATGATGACGAAACGACGCCAGCCAGCCAGCCAACCAACCAACCAATCAGAACGAACATATGGAAGCGGGCGGGCAGTCAGTCGAATTGGCACATCCGGTGGGAGGACATCTGCTTCGACACCCAGGACAAGAGGAGGTTCGAGCACAACAACAACACGCTCGTTAGTCCTCACTTCTACCTCTTCCTCTTCTGGTCGCAGTTCACTTTTAATCCGTGATGGTGATGGTACGATGATTATTAACATTATGATGATTTTGATTGGTGATGATTGGAATGATTAGAATGGCGGTGGTCGGCAACAGTGTGATAGATATTTGGCGCAGGTGACACATACACACATGCACACATACGCACACACACGCACACACCAGCAGAAATGTTCGATGAGCAGTTTGTTGACGCACGACTCCTTCCCCATGAATCACGCCGATGATATGAACGTTAAGATCGGCTCCTATAAGGTCATTAAAATGATGGATGGATGGATGGGTGGATGGCTGGGTGGGGAAATGAATGAACGAAAGAGTGAGTAAATAAATGAATGATTAAATGATGGACGGTTCATTAAAAAAAGAGTGATGAAATTATGAACAGGGCAGCCATGTCGCGATCAGGAAACTGACGAAGCCAATAACACTGACCAAACGACTGACCAACCAACTGAAAACCGTTTGTCGACTGTTCAAAATTTTCCAATTAATTAATTAATTCATTCATTTATTCAATCAATCAATCATTCATTATATATTAATCAATAATTTAAATTATTTATTCATTCTTTCAGCTGTTAACCATTCATTTATTCGTTAACTAATTACTTTTTGATTCGCCACCGTTCTCTCATTGGCTGAATAACTCACAAAGCCAGTGGCAATTGATTCTATTGCTTGCACTAACAGATGAAAAACTTGCAAGACGACCACATAGTTAGGTTTATAGGGATGTGCCTGGACCCCCCCAACACCTGCATTGTCATGGAGCACTGCCACAAGAGAACACTCAAGGTAGTTTTCTGTGGTTATCGTGGTGATGGTGGTGTTCGAGATGACGACGACGATGATGGAATGTTAATTACGATGCAAGGAGCTGTTAAGCAATGATCAAGTCAGTCTGGATACCATGTTCAAAGGCTCGCTCATTCAAGACATCATCATGGTTATTTATTATTACTAATTATTATTTAAATCGTTAATTATTTTTTATTAGGATTGTTCGTCATCAATTATTGTTGTTGAATAATGATGACGAACGTGTGCAAATGTTCGTCGCACTCCCTCCATCGCATGGCGTCGGTGCTTACTACTTTGCAGCTGAGGCTTCAAAAAACGAGCATTTTAACGAACAAAAACGCTTGTGACATCAGTAGTTTTAGTGGCAATGATTCGCAGCTAAGCACGTGAGAAGCTCTGCCGATGTCAGAACTGCGTGATAGAATAAAAAAGTTCATTTCGTGTTTGTGAATCAATTTGCCTGTTGCCGGCCGATCCATTTGTATGCTGGTTTGTCAGTACCCCTTTCGCCCCCCAACAACCAACCAGGGCATGGCGTACATCCACGGGACGGACGTCCACTCGCACGGCAGCCTCAACACCCACAACTGCGTGGTGGACGGGAGGTTCGTCCTGAAGATCACCAACTTCGGCCTGCACTCACTCATTAACGATGACGACGACGACTGCTACAACCACAGCGCTAACCATGGAAACGTCCGTTACAGATTAGCCAATAATTTCTTCGGTGTCGGCCATCATCATCATCACCACCACCATCATCATCATCATCATCTTTTGGACCGTCGAGATCATTATCAGGATAGTTGTAGGACCGCCAAGCACTCAATGGATCTGTTGATGACTTCACCTCTCATAAACAGCCGCGAGCTCGCCAGCGTTTGCAATCAAAATTATCAAGGTTTGTCAATTCTCGAAGGAGGTGGTTCGATTGATGTGATGATGGGGGAGGTGGTTCGATTGATGTGATGATGGGGGAGGTGGTTCGATTGATGTGATGATGGGGGAGGTGGTTCGATTGATGTGATGATGGAGGGGGTTGTTTGATTGACAGATGAATTGTTTGTGGCCCCGGAACTTCTCAGAAATCCAAGAAGGCCAAAACAAGGAACTCAAAAAGGTTGCCTTTGTTTTGTTACATTTATGTTTTATTCATCCACTCGTTCATTCACTCGTTCATTCACTCATTCACTTATTGATTCCTGGCTCCAGGAGACATTTACAGTTTCGCGATAATCTGCCAGGAGATCCTCTACAGGAGGGGGCCATTCTGGATCGAAAACAACACGCACACCGTCCGCGGTCGAGATCTTCACTCATTTTTTGATGGATGGATTGGCTTTTGATTGACTGGCTGGCTGGCTGGCTGGTTGATTGCATGCTATGCCCCCCTTGCTTCATTGATATGTAAACTATCCTCCTAGAAATGTTGAGCAGTGAATTTGAATGAATGAATGAACGAATGAATGAATGAATGATTGAACGAATGAATGAATGAATGAATGGATGAATAAATATCAAACAAAGCTGCACACCCGCCTGCCTTTTTAAACCTTGAAGCTCAAACAAAAGCAGATTCACAAGCACGTCCTCATTACCAAACAATGTAAAACTTCAAATGCTCTAAAAAATCATGAAACATGAAATAAAAAACTTCGATATCTAGTTTAAACATTTGGTCGAAATAGTGTTCTGCATTAATTAACAAACATATAAAGATAAATTAGATGCTTACACACACACACACGCACACACATGGGACAGAGCTCCTGGACCTGATAAAAGATGGCGTGGAGCCGCACACGAGGCCCACGTTGGTCCAGCAGCAGTTGCAGGACGGTTTCACAGGGGAGTTGGTTGATCTGATAAGCAGGTGCTGGAACGAGAACCCGTCGAAGAGGCCTGACTTCAACAGTCTAAAGTGGATGCTGAAGAGGTGCTTTGTCACCAGTGCTAGAGTTGAAGGGTAGGTCACTTCCCGGATGGAGGGATGGAAGGATAGAGAGATTGATGGATGAGTAGATGGATGATGTATGCGCAAATGAATACGCGAATTGAATATGAATGGATAGATGAATGAATGTTTGCCTGAAAATATTTATTACCTATGTAACAAATATCTCCTTTTCATATAGTTCGAATTAAGGATTATACAGACGGACGGATGGATTGATGAGCAAATGTATAAATGAAGGAATGAATGAGGAACGAATGACCTCTCGACATTCTACTTCAGGAAGGTTCCAGGCACGAGTCTACTTGACAACATCCTCTCCAGATTAGAACAATATTCCATGAACCTCGAGAAGCTGGTGGAGGAGAGGACATCCGACTATCTGAACCAAAAAAGAAAAGCCGAAGAAATCCTATACAGACTTCTGCCTAGGTACTCGCTGGCGTGATGATGACGTGATGATGACGTGATGATGACGTGATGATGACGTGATGATGACGTGATGATCCCAATCAACTCAACCTGGATGTAGTTGTTGACGAATACAGACAGGTGGCGTATCAGCTGATGGTGAATGGAACTGTTGAGGCGGAGAAATTTGAATGTGTGACCATCTGCTTCTGTGATATTTGCGGATTCACTGCTCTCTCCGCCGCCAGCTCACCCATGCAGGTGCCACCTCCTCCTCTTCTTCTTCTTCTCCTTCCTCATCTTTTTTTTTTCTTTTCTATCCATCATTTTGATCTTCATGTGCATACATATTATAACTTCATGTAGAACATTTATTTCATTTCATTTATTACACCATTTATTAAGTAAACCAGAAGCCCGCATTCAGAGCTTGTAAGGTAACTAACATATCATCAAAATTTAAAAATGTTCAGACAAAAATTATATGTCAAAATTACTAAAACAATATAATTAACAAATTTAAAATAATAAATGTTGAATATTAACATACTGAGAGATATGAAAGCATCGTTGAGAAACATTAAATAATAACAAAGTTATTAAATCGTCGTTAAATTTTAAGAAGGAAGAAAAGGTATGTAAGACAAAAGATTTAAGAGATATGGAATAGGTAGGGCACGGACACTGGACCTGAATTTTGAAAAACAGATATTTGCTGAATATCTCGCGGTAACTTATTCCACAATCTAAGGCCAGATATTAGGATGCGATTTTTAAATAATTTAGTTCTTAAAACTGGCAAATAAAATTCATTATTGTGTCTAAAATGCCCACTCTTGTTAGATTTAAAACTCAAAATGACTTTTTAGCATTGGGCGAAACATTATTTATATATAATTTATAAAAAAAATACAAGTAAATAAAATTTATATAAAGTAGTAATTATAAGTGTTTTGCTCAGATCAAACAAATGTGAAACATGGTCAAATTTTTTTAGATTGTAAAGAATTCTCAGAAAATATTTCTGACATTTAACTGTTAATGATAAGTGACGACACAAACTGCTGTCCCAAATTGGTAAGCAATATACCAAGTAATGGTATATTAATGAATAGTAAAACATTTTAGTTACAGCAAAATTTTTTAATTTATTTAAAATTCCTAACTTTTTCGGGATTTTTAAAGATATATACGTCAGGCCATGACGAACCAGAGCTTGCAGTGACGCATAAAAATTTTATCGAGTGAACCCTATTAATAATATTACCGCCAGGTTTGTGATTATTTTAGGACCAAATACTAAGAAAAGTGTTGTCTTAAAATCAATAAGCAATTTATTTTAACGGCACCAGTAACGCATTACGTAGGTGGTGACCATGCTGAACGACTTGTACACGCTTACGTAGGTGGTGACCATGCTGAACGACTTGTACACGCGGTTCGACGTCCTCATCGACAAATACGACGTCTACAAAGTGGAGACGATCGGCGATGCGTACATGGTGGTCAGCGGCCTCGACGGCAGGTCCGACACGAGCCACGCCACCGAGATCTCCAAGATGTCCCTCGCGCTTCTGGACGTCGTGAAGGCATTTCGAATAATGCACATGCCGGACGAGCAACTGAAGCTGAGAACTGGAATTCATTCGGGTTGGTTCGCCATCATCATCATCACCATTATCGTCGTCATCTTCCTCCTCATCATCACCATTATCGTCATCTTCTTCCTCCTCCTCCTCATCATCATCAGGACCAGTCTGCGCCGGCGTGGTGGGGATGAAGATGCCTCGCTACTGCTTGTTCGGAGATACGGTCAACACGAGCATCGTCGTCCAATCGGCCGCAGAACGTTAGCCATGCCATCATCATCATCATCACCAGATCATTATCATCATCACCAGATCATCATCACCAGATCATCATCATCACATTCGCAGCCCTGACTATCTTGGTCAGCGACCAGGCGAAGATCATTCTAGATAAGTATAACGAATTCGACCTCGTTGAAAAGGGAATGCTGCAGTTGCCAGTTAGATGATGATGATGTTGTTGATGATGATAACGATGATGATGTTGATAATGACGAAATTTGTGTTTGCTATAGCGATAGAGTAGATAATTATGAACTGGACCATTAATTAAAACTAAAGAGCAAGAACAGCGTGATGACCTGGAGGCTTCTGGGTTCGAAAGCAAGCGCAGCCGACAGCACGACAACAACGAGGAGGTCACTTCTCTGGACCCTGGACGGACTTGACTCCAGGTCAAACAACTTTCAACTCGCCATCTTAACACTCGCCATTCTATCTGCACTCATCCTGTGTTAACTCGTTCCTCTTCATCATTTTCTCTTTAAACTTCCTCCGCAAACTTCTGCGAAACTTCTGACTCTACTTAGCCAGTGTATGAATAACCTTGTTATATTATAAATTATAATTATTAGATAGTTTAGTTGAAACGTAACAAAAAAGATGACGACAATGATTATTAAAAATATATTAAAATACTATGAAACAATGATCATTTAAATATACACACACGCACACGCACGTATGTATACTTTTACACGTCTTAATGCGAATAAATTAAAGCGGGAGAACGCACAACACAGCACACATAATATGACGTCACATCACAACATCAAAATATGTTTAGCACCATCTATAAGGTATGTTATCTGGGCACGTATAGTACCTACGATGTGTAAATTAATGTATGATACACATGTGTGTGTGATGTGTGTGTAAGCATGTTAGCGTGAAAAGCACTTGACGAATATCACAAAATATTTTGAAGGACAACAAGATGGAATATAATAAACGAATTAACAACAATATTCAAACAGGCAAAATACTTTTTAAAATACTTTGATAAAATGAAAGAGAGGAGAGAGAGAGAGAGATGGAAGATAGTGATGCTGAAATTGTTAAAATAGAAGATGAGTTGCATTTATCTTCACGTATGTTGTTGGCCTAGCAAGTTGTCATCACCGTCATCTTCGTCGTCAATCGCTCCGACCAACTGCTCCGACGGGCAACTGAAGAATTATTTTATAGAAATCGAATGAACTGACATCAAGTTAGCGAACGATATATTTTGAATTATTTTTGCAGTTACTGAAGCTTCAGAAGAAGGCACGGATTCATTGGCAATCACTCCCCAACGGATAATCTCACTACCACTTAACTGTTTCATTTCTACAACCTCCATCATTTCAAAGCGACCAATAATTTTTTACGTGGATTTATAAAAATTATTCGGTGTTTTCAATTAAAAACTGTGAGACGTTATTTTCGTAATATTCAGCGCCGCTTGTCAATTGAACGCTCATTACAACGCATATCCGTCTTACAGGTTCAGATCTGCTGCATTCGAATCACATAGTTGTACAAAATTTAAAAAAATTCCAACTTTTGCGAGGGCAGATACGAGTGCGTGCGGTTATGTGATGTGTGCTTATTCGGAGGGAGTGATGGAGTTGTGCCGGCTTCGTAAAAGTGACAGTGTGACTGAAAACAAGGTGTGCAAATAAAAACGCTGCAATTTTTAAAAAATATTCATTTATTTTACACATTTATTTAACAAATCAGTCGTGTTCGTCATCTCTCGCTTAAATAAATCGAGTCTGTCTGCAGCGGTCGTTTTCAGTCAAAACGTGATTTGTTGCATAACGCTGTTACTAAAACTTCGGATTGCCATTTAATGAACTAAATGAATGTGCGACTTTGTGTTGCTTTTATTTTCCGTGCGCTTGCGAACAGTGGCGTGATAATGTCACACGCTGGAGTGCATGTTTATGGGAGCCGCAGCAGCAGCAAGCACGATCTTCCTTCCGACGCACTTCGACCGAGCGCCACCAGCGACGTCTCCTCCGTAGACGACTAACTTGTACGCGGCAACTCCTACGTTGGGGAGTTGTCGTTGTGGTTCTCGGTGGCCCTCGTGATCTGCCTGCATTCGTTTCCTCCTGTTGCAGACTGCCTCTCGTTGGTCCATTATTGCCATGAGGAGGTCCTGGTCATCGTCGTTCGTGGGGGCAATGGAAATGTCCCTCACCGCTCGGAACTGCCCGCAATTGTTCAGGTGCTCGTTCTCCAGCCTCAGGAAGTTCCACACAAACCGCCTGTCGATTTTGAAAAAAAAATTTTTTGCTTTCAATTAAAATATTCGCATTCTGAAACTCGCAGGCGCGTTGCGTGTACAGTGTACTCACTCACTTGCCTCTCCATGCATGCACATACAAGCGCGAACCTGAACACTTCAAGACTGGAGACAATTGTCTTTACAATCTCCTCGTCCAACTTCCCACTTGACTGCATGCAGACCATCCAAACCCAGGAGAACCTCAGGAGGATGTTTTCAATGATGGCCAGGTAGTAGAAGGACTGTTCATTCGTTCGATCATCATGTCGTGTTCATTCGTTCGTTCATCATGTCTTGTTAAAATCATCGTCGGCTCCGTTGTCTACAGACAGACCCGTCATCATCGTCGTCATTCAAAGCTCTCATGTCGTCTTATTCTTCATCATCCTCGTCATCGTCGTCGTCGTCATCCTACCTTCCTGGGGTACACAGTTTCCTCCCTGAGTAGGAAGTTACTCCCGGCCCGCCCGTCCATCAGTCCCCAGTCCATCTTGAGGTCCCACGTGAGAGTGTAGCAGGAGTTGAGGACTGCCGACATCATCCACAAGTAGAAGAAGACGTTGTGCTGCTGTGCTGCATCGCGACTGCTGTGCTTCACTGGTGTGGTGTGGTTCGTTTCACTCATGCAGATGCAGCATGTACACAGAACAACGGAGAAAACTAACCGGCATAGGATTTGTGGAGCGTTGAGAAGAGGACCACGAGAAAAGTGGTGGCATACTTTGCAGCGTTGGCGATGTGTGGGAAGAAGAGGCGCGTGTCCCTGTAGCGACGGAGGCATTGTGCGAATCTGATTCATTAAATCGAGTTGTAACGAGGTGACTGACATTCAATTATCAGGCGGTCGTCACACAACAGTTCAAAACTTCTCACAACTATTCTCACCATTGTGTGTTACGTGAAATTGATTTTAAGAATTGAATGGTGGAAGACTGCAAAGATACCTAAACCATGCAGGCAGACATAGAAGTAAAGGTCTCAGAGCGTATGATAGACCGCTGCTACAGCGTCCACTCCACTGCTTGTCTGAAAGTTGAGTCGTTCGTTATCGAAAGCTGAACTAGAGAAATGTTAAAACACGTGCAACGAAACTTCAACAGTACAACAACCTCTGCCCTTCATTTGCAACTCATTCAACCAATCGATTTCAGTAGCGTAGAAACAGATGAGAAATTCAAAATCGAGCAGAATGGAAGCCAAGCTGTTCAGCTGGTCAGCCAGCCAGAAGTCTGCGAATCCAACCGGATGGAATGGAGCTGTCAGTATGCAAAACTGTTCAGTTGGATTCATCAATTGGGAGTTAGATCGTAATAATAAAAATGAAAGATGCAACAGTGTTATGTGTATTTGCAAACTGCAAACCAACGCATGAACAAACAAACAAACAAACAAGTACGTAAGAAAATTAACGAGTAAACAAAGAGAACGAACCAAAACTTTGAGCAACCACATCCTTGCTTTATAATGCATGATTGGAAATGGATTGACAATGTAGATGATGAATGCCACTAACAAGCAGAATGGATTTGTGAATGCCGGGATGTAAATGTGCTGACTCAACAGGTAGGACAAGACACTGGACGTACAAATTAATGCCAAGAAACTCGCTACCTGGTTAGAAAATGAATAACGCGGAAACTTAAAGTATTTAATTAGCATCTGCTAATGCTTAGAAATAAATAATAACGTTTTTAAAATAAATTGAGATTACAACTAGAGCCCTGTGCGGTTGTGGTTTTAATTCTGGCGGTTGCGGTTAACCATACAGGGCTCTAATTGCAACCCACTTCAATGAGCTGATCGTGGGTCAGATGGTCTCTGGGGTCCAACTCGAATATGAGCACGTGATTGACACCTGCAGACCTCCAGCCATACGCGTTGACACCCAGCAGAAATATGAAGAGGCTGACCAGGAAGAAGCCCCTGTACATCTGGAGGGCGGCCCTCCAAGACGGGGATGCGTCGGAGCTCTTCGAGGCCCTCTGACCTTCAGACGGGGAGTGAGCAAATGAAAACATTCCAATTTAAAAAACAGTAAAATTAGTGCAAATATTAACGTTGAAGCTTAAAAATGTATTTTACGTAGTAGCAGAAATTCGATGTAATTAACGTGTGCACCTGCATACAAGGTGAGTAGACTTAGGACGAGGAGTGCACCGGCGAACAAGCCCACCCTGAATGTTGTCCAAATATTCAACTGTCGGGTGGCAGGGTGATGTGGGCAGATGGATTAGGTCGTCATTGTTGGGGTGGGTGGTGGTGGTGGTGGTGGTCGGTCGTATAAACTCTCACTTCACAGCAGTTAAAAATATCAATAGATGAACAATCATTTCAGCACAGATTAACAAACAGAAAATAGAAAAATTGTAGGAGCTGCTTCAAAATCAACCCACCATCAAATTAAATTCGACGTTGAAAACAACCAATACAAGGCCAAATTTTAAAGGAGACACCTTAAATGCAAACAACTGCAAACCAGTTCCAATTATTTTTGTTTTTCTCAAAAATTTTAAACGACTGGTCGAACAAGAATCAATCAATCATATTCAAGTCAACAGTAAATTATAGCCAAGTACAGGTGATGGGAGCTCTCACACCCGATGTGTAGTTTGCCAATTGACTCACAACCATTTCATGAAGATTTTGTATGAAATGAAAATTTGAAAATATTAATCAAAATTTTGTTGATCCAATATTACAATAGAAATAAATAAATCACTCAGCACAACAACATTATCAACACCAAGAACATCACTCCAACCACCTTGTCGCCCAACGGAGGCACTCGAAGTCTCTTCATGGCCCTCTGTCGATCCCCACCCTCCAAGTGGCTCGTGAATGTAACCTGGGGGAATGAACAACGAACAGATGTACCTGACAGGCTTGTGGCTGTTTATGAACTCACTGGCACGCAGTTGGGAACGACGAATAGTTAGTTACATAATACTTTGGTTGGTTTGGTTGGTTAGAATTTAAAAAACCATCCGCCTCTGCGACAAATTCATTTTAATGTAGAGACCTGTAGTGACTTGAAAGCTTTTTACCGAAACGTGCCAGCGTTACAAACAAATTACGAACACAGGAGGAAGAGTTTTTATTATCAATTTTTCAATTTTATTATCCTTAATAGTGTTTCAGATTTGTACATTAGCGTTGATGAATTTACTGTCAAGTTATTTTTCGGTTTCACGAGTGGAATGTATCTCCTCCGTCAATTTTGTTGTTTTCTGTGGATGGCTAGAAAACCAGACCCGCGATGTTTTATCATACATGATATTTATTCAACAACAGTTAATTCAATTGGTCGGCATGTTTGCGAGCTGCTTCATTCATCAACGCAATTATTCTCTGCATGACATTTAATGCCGTTTTTTAAATATCGGAAGGTACTTGGGCAATTAAAAACGTATCAACATTTCACAAAGAAGCTGCAGAGCGAGCGGGCGCAAAAGTAGCATACATCATCATACACCAGCACGAATGTACCGACTTCAACTTGCTTGATGAACTTGTTGACCTCCTTGCTAGTGTAGAATGCAGCCACTTCAACGTTCAATTGGAACCACTGAGCACCCCGACTCGACTTTGTTAACTGAAATTGTGAGCGTGTGTTCTTGCGTGCGTGTGTGTGTGTGGCTCTTGAATGAATTTGTGCTTGTGCTTTCGGTTGTGTGTGTTGTTTTCAAGCAAACTTGCGCTAGCCGTATTGTAAAATAAACAGTCGATGAAGAAAATTGTGTGAATTTTCCAAAGCATCAATCATTGAAGCAAAATGAGAAATGTTAAAAAAGTCAAAATTTCAAAATTTTAATCAGCCAAAGCTGGAAGAGCCAGAAGATCTTTGATGAAAGATCGTAAATAATTAATAAAAGATCATAAATAGATTAATGAAAGATCATAAATAATTAACAAAAGATCATACATAGATAATTAATGAAAGACTACATGAAAAGAAAGAATGCAACCTTGTCGTGTTTCTTGCAAATCTTCTTGAAGCCCTGGTAGTTGAGCGTCTGATAGTTCTGCAGAAGCACCAGGTTGAGGTAGAACTCACTGAAAGCCAACTTGATCTCCCTCAGTGTCTTGTGCGACTTTGCCACTCTGCACTCTTCTTTGTTCGCATCAAATGCTGAAAAACTTTTCGCCGCTACGTTGTTCTGACGGATCAGAATTTAAGAAAAGTTCTTTTAACAAATCCAAATTTAATATGTCGCACATCACTTGCGAATAATAGTTATTGTAAGAGCTATATAATATTAATAATTATTGTTATAGTTGGGCGGCACGATGGTACAATGGTTGAGGTGCCTTGTCTTGTTGAAGCAGTGTCTGCATTCAAATGGAAAGAAATCCCATCCTGACATTATTATTTTTGCTGTTCTAATGATTAAGTTTAGTGTATAAGGACTGCATTTATATGCTATTAAAAATTACATAACGCCAGTGCAGTAAACAACCAACCATTCAATGTATATATATTTATATTTATATATTCACATATATTGGATTAATATATATATATATTTACATACACTAGAGCTGAGTTTGAGACTGTCATATGGGCAGTCAGCAATCAATATCATAACATTTTCTGCATAGTTTTGTTTACAATGAAGCATTTCAATTCTTTTAATGGTGATATGATAGCAGATGCTACTGAAAAAACTTTTAATGTGAACAAAAATGTTCAAGAATTTTGTTCTTGAATTAAATAAACTTGAAAAAAATCATCAAATTGTTTTTAGAACATTTGAAAGGTTATACACACATATATATGTATATATATATATGTGTGTGTGTGTGTGTGTGTGTGTGCGTGTATGTGTGTGTGTGTGTAGGTAAGCATGAAAGATGTTGACCAACTTCTTGATGTTTCCTTCTACTTTTAATCACTATTGAAAGATCGAATTCAAGATTTGAAAACTTCCTGGCTGCTTCAGCTAATTTTTCTGAAAGGAAAAATTAATTCTATTCTATAATTCTAATTTTAAATCTATAAAAAAAAATTTGAATAAGATTGCACCCAAACATTTTTTTATCAATCATTATTATCATTTTGACACACATAAACTCTATAAACCATCCATCCATTTAAAACCACTGACCTAAGAAGAAATTGTTAACTTTGCACAACTCCTTGTCTAACTGCTGCAAGAATTCATCAGCAAACCTGCCATAGTACACTTCGATGACAAAAACATCTGTAACTAATTTATAAGAGGAGGGCATGTTGTTAATGTGTTATTGTTCATAATATGAAACGCAAGCAGGCTTGGCTCAGCAGATGCATGAATGAAACATGAAGGTTACAAAATGGAATCAAATATAAACCGTACAATAAGCAAATAAATAGTTTATCATTCAGTAAAACCATTAGAAAAGTTTTTAGACATGTATCAACAAACAATAAAGACAATTTAATATTTGTATCTGGCCAAGGCTAGGGCAATAGTCGTTGTTGACTGTTTATTTAAAAATTGATTAAATAGTAACTTGCAGCTAACTTTCAATAGAAGGAGCATCTTCAACAGCTCTGTAGAGCATTCTTTTCAATGTCTTTGTGGTTGTGCATTAAAAAATATAATTATAAATACAATTAATTTAAAAGTTACCCAAATACAAATATTATTAAACAAATTAACTTTTGTGCCAAACAATCATTAAAAATTTTAACTTGAGTATTGAATAGGTCTGAATTATTATTTATTTAGTTAATTTAAACTAATTAAATTTAATTTATCTCAAAACCGCAAAAAAAAGTGATGGATGGACGGTCACTGGTGATCAATTGATCAGCCATGCACAATGCAGGCAGGCATTCTCAAAGAATGGAAGCAAACCATGCAAGCAAGCGAGGGGCCGATCGATGTTTAGAAAAAAGTGACAGTTGCCAACCTCGTAACTGACGTATTGTTTGTGCCATTCCGGAGTTAGGTGGCTCAACAAATGATCCGAAAACTTCATCTTTCACCATTAAAACCAAATCCACTCCAGCAAATACCATCTAGGCATTTAATTTAATTGCAACTTCAACGAGTGTATTATAAATCAGGCCAAAATCCAATACTTCTATTACTATGTACAGACACTCTTATATAAGTAATGTCATATGTTCTATAAAAACGTCTATAAATGATATACCTACATAAAATTATAGAAAAAGTAGTTTATAATTAATTATTGTTAATTATATAATAAAAAGGAGCATCAAACCTACAATACCTGACCAACAAATCAAAGTACTAATATTGTACGAAAAAACCCAAAGCAGCAAATTTAATAATCTGAAATAACACTGCAACCGATAATTATCCCCTCAAACAAGCAAAAGTAATCTACCAGTAGAGCGTAACGATGACGCCTGTGATCATCTGACAACTACCTCATTGTGAAGACGACTTACGTGCCATCTTTCTTACGGTGGTCCTTCAATACACTCTAAATTAACACACAAAAAGAAAATTACGGGCGAGGATCGTCAACAGAGCAACAAACCACAGCTTCGGCTGTACATTTAGGCTACTAACCACAAACCACAGAACGCTCGTTTTTCTGTCATTCCATGACAACTCCAGTATTTTTCTTAAACCTTTCATTACAAATGCTTCAATTCTTCTTTCATCTTACATTATCATTGTCCAACCTTCCGGACCATAGACTTGCTACCGGCCATACCAACGTGCGCAGCATACGAATTTTAGTATTTAATATGATGGAATGACTCTTCCACTGCAGACCGCCTGTTACCCCTTGTGCTTTGATAAGTATTGCTTAATTGTATGTAGGACTAACTGTTCAATTTGATCGAACATTATTTTCGAATGTTCGACAGTCTGCGGGTCTGTGGTGATGAAATTTCGGTTTTACTTGCTTTTACTGGATAAATAACTTTTTTATCGAAAAGAGCAACTTCCTCTATCCTTTTGATACAAAATTATCGTTCTATTTATTTGAATAATATTTTGAAATGATTTATTTTTTTTACAAACTAATTGATTGATTGATTGATTGATTGATTGATTGATTGATTGGTTGGTTGGTTGGTTGGTTGGTTAGTTGTTTGTTGATCGATTGATTGATTGATTGATTGACTGATTGATTGATTGATTGATTGATTGATTGATTGATTGATTGATTGATTGATTGATTGATTGATTGATTGATTGATTGATTGATTGATTGATTGATTGATTGATTGATTGATTGATTGATTGATTGATTGATTGATTGATTGATTGATTGATTGATTGATTGATTGATTGATTGATTGATTGATTGATTGATTGATTGATTGATTGATTGATTGATTGATTGATTGATTGATTGATTGATTGATTGATTGATTGATTGATTGATTGATTGATTGATTGACTGATTGATTGATTGACTGATTGAGAGATTGATTTGATATTCGTTGAAGAACACAAAATACACTGATCTGCTGGAATGTAAAAAAAATTCCTTAAAATTTATTTATAACTTGATTAATCAATTAGACAAAATAAACACATGATGGAATCTAAAAAAAAAATCTCAAATAAACCAGTTTTCAATTCTTGTGATGGCCCGGTGGTTAAGGTAACCTGGTGCGGTTTCGAAGTGCGTGCAGTACCTATAGGGAATACAAAAGATCCCCACCTATTACCTTTGATATACTTCTTCTTCTTTCTCGTGCCTTATCCTTTCAGGACATTGGCGACCAGTGACCTCCACAAAACCCGATCGTTAACACTTTGTAAGAGTTGAAATGTGGTGAAATTCAATAAGTGACAAAAGGACTTTACGAATGTTAATTGGTCTTTTTATCTGCAATCTTTTCAGTATTTGTTAGATTTTCCATTTTTTCTTTCCACATATATGATGTGACCAAAAAACTCTAACGGCCCCCGTCGGATAATCTGTAGTAATTGATATACATATATGCCTTAGTGTAATTAAATAAACCATTAACATTTTTTTAACCTTGTTATCGTCTGAATTATATAAGAATATTCACTGAGATTTTTGATAAGTTAAACCCGAATATTTTGATAAATATATGAAAAGGAGTAATCCAAATGTACACATATACTTTTTACATGTTTTTTATTTCATTTTTTATATGTTTTTTTTTTAACCTTTGCCTAGAAAAACGAAAATTCATATACTTATAATACAATTATAAACTTATAATATATAAGTTAATATTAAATTACATATATATAATATATATTATAGATATAATGTTATATTGAATTATATACGAGATTTGGAATCCAGGTTTGCTAAGCTTATTGAACCATTTTAATTTAATTAAGCTATTCTATGCTTCAGCTGTTTGCCTGCTTTTCTCAATAGGAGCAAGACATGGCGGAGGGGGGTTTCAAAAGTTTTTCTTGCAAGTCTCCGTCGGCTGGGGAGTTGAAACACCAAAAAATGTACAAGATGTCTACCCCGCCGTGGAAGGATTCCTACCGGAAAGTTGGTCAGACTTTCGTTTTCAATCAATTAATTAATTTAATTAATTAATATTAAATAAAATAAATAAATATATATAAAATGAATGTGAAAGTTATAAATTAAAATTTAAATTAATTATAACTCTAAAAAATTATAAAAAAATAATATTGTTGATTGATGTTGGAATTACTATTTCGGTTACCTTATTGTTGGTGACATTTAGCCACTTAAATAAATAAAAGGCAAAAGCTTAATTTTAATAAATCTAACACTATATAGATATATATATATAATATAAATATGATAATAATTTATATAATAATTGCTAGCTATTAATTAATTATGTAAGTTAGTGTACACATGTATGCATTTTACGTTATAATTTATTACGTTTTTTATGTTTATAATTTGTTTGATTGAATTGTATGTTCATTTAATAACAGAGTTGTAAGGAGCGGCTGGCTGCCAACAGGCAAACATTCCTTGAGAAATTGAGGAATTGTGCATCTCGCGATGATGTGACAACTTCACTTAAAAACTTTTTCATCTCAGAGTGCAATAAAACTGCAGGCAACAACCTCCATGCTCACATAGATGTTAGTTGTTCAGAAAAATCTTTTGAAAAATGATTCTTCTGTAATGCTTGTCACTTTTTAGATCTTATTTATTTCTTTATCTATTTATTTGTTGTTCATGTTATTCAACTTTCTTGTTTTCTTTACAAGAAAATTTACTTTTTTAGTTAACATTTCTTATTTTTTTTCAATCATTAATGTGTAATGTTATGTTTTTTTTTCTTAGCCAGTTTCATGTTAAATCTTTCAATAGGGTTATATAATAAATTCAATAAATGGATAATAATGTAATTTGTCATCATTAATCATTTGTTGTAGGAGAACACAGATGATTTGCTTAAAATGTTTGAAGAGATTAATGGAGAACTGGAGTTGGAAGGTGTTTACGTCTTTCTTTGTTCTTAATTCGCCTTTCTCAGTCTCAAGTTGTTGTTGTGATCGTCATTTTAATTTTAAATTCCAACTTCGGGCAAACTTGTATTTTCAATTTCTATAGAGCTAGAGATACTTCATCAGTACAAGCACTATGAAGAGTTATGTGATGATGAGATGATCAACTACATGGAATCTAATGATATCATCACCTACGATAGTGTCAATGATTATACTAACACTTTCACTACTAACAATAATACTAATGCAGTTCTTTGTCCGGTCTGTCAAAGGTGATACATACATATGTGGGAAGGGACTAAATTTTATATTCACTTTTTTTGTAGTGTAAATATGCTGTCGCATGTTAATTAGATTTGGATGCTGTTTGCTACAATAAGTCTTGATTTAATTTTTCATTTCTTTCACTGAAATTGGATATAGCAAATGTAGCAATTAAATTTTTTTTCTAGAAATTATTTGTCAGTAAATTTTGGACTAGTGCAATGTTCATGTGGACTGCAAATTCAATCAGAGGTTTCATCTCTACATTTTGGCATGTTTCATTTTGATTTTAAGTTATCGATTAACATCGTAATCCAAAGATCTTCCTAATGACCAAAGAATAATATTTTTAACTTTTCTAGCAAACGTCCTTAACATTGGATGTGATTGAGGCTAATTTGCAACACGCAATGCAGGACCACTCCTCATCATGTCCCGATCATCCAATGTTTAGTGCCCTGCAACTTCAAACTGTTAAAAATCTGCAGATGTTATGCAAGGTTTTCAATGAAGATATTATTGATATGTATTCATTTCGTTAATTAAATATAGTTTATGAAAATACATGTCTAAGTTTTTTTTTTGATTCTGAGCTCTAAACTGCTAGAAACAATTTTATAATTGAAAGTTCTGGAAGGTTAATTTGAGTAGAACGTGTTAAGTTGAAGAGAGATAGAGTTAGGATTACGTCAACTCAGAGATGTTATTAGTGATGAGTAAAAACAAGGCACATAGATATGAACTATTAAGAGTAAGTTTAAAACAAAATTGAAAACATGTGGACGGAATAAGATGGTAGGGAGTGATGAGAATATTAATAGTTGACTACAACGATTCCAGGTCTCTGTGCATTTTAGTTATGATCTCGTTATAGCTTTATTTCAAGTGCAAGTCTCGTGTACTTTACTGAAGTTTATTCTGTAACTTTTGTAGCAAATGTGCTATAAATCTTGCAACATATCCTACTCGAGTTTGCTTTTTGAGAGCTTCTAATCGTTCTTGCAATTGATTTTTTAAACGTATCTGATATTTAATTTGTAATCGGTTTTCATTCAATAAAGTAATACATATAAAAAATGTTCACATTAACAGAACTGCAACTTTTCCCGCTTCATCATCTGACTTCAACTGCCACAACTTCTAAGCCCGTGTGAACATTTCTACCTGTCAGCTTGTAAATTGCAATCTACCGTGAATTATTGTCATTTTATTTCATGTCTTGTGTTTATTATTTTACTGTTTCTTATCGAGTTTCAATCATTGTTATCATCTTGAATCGTGATGAATACGTTATTTCGTTGTGAAAAGAGCTCGTCTTTTGTAGATTTCGGGTTGGTCTGTCGCCGTTCGACCGTCCATCCGAAGAACCTTTTTTTTTAAAATCGTTTCGTCCTGCATTGAGCTTTTTTCGATGCCAGAGTATCATTGGTCATTCAAAATAGCAATTCTGAATGACGAAGCTCTGATTGGTCGAGAAGTAAATTAGGCCACAGCTGCGGTTTAGTTAGGCAATTCTTATTGGTCGCCTCAAAAGTGGGTCACGTTCATGTGCGAGTCTTTGTTGTGATGATTGATGGTATCTAGTTGATAAAAAGAAAGATTTTCGCCTCAAATTTCTTCCATTTCAAGTTTCAAGCTGACTGTGGGTAGATCAGGTGAACAATCAAAATTTTGTTTCTGTCATTTTGCTCATTTAAACCCATTTTTAGTGTTTTTAACGATTTTATTGCAAGAGTTTATTGATTTGCCGGCGAATAAATGTCAGCTGATTCAGTTCAGTTGCTGTTTGCTTTCTATTTAATTTTTTAAAATTTGCGATTAAATGCTTTTAAATTTCGAATTTTTAAATAATTTTAATTTAGCGACTTGTTGAAATCTTTCATCTTAAACGCCGACAAGTTAATAGATTTGCTGCGACTGCTAGCTTTCTCTTTCTTCTTTCTCATTTCATTCTTGACAGCGCAATCAGCTGGAGCACATAATTATTATATTATATAATAATAAATTAGTGAATAGGTGGTTGGGGAGTTTGGTGGTTGGTTGGTGGTTGCGTCCTCAGATCTTCAAACCGGCCAGTTAGATTCGTATGCTATTTCTTTGTTGTTTAAAAAGCAGATTCTTCTATTATATGCGATACCTGATCATTACCACAATACAAACAAACACATTCAGCCAGCCCAATGATTTGTGGGAGTGACAGATTATTTTTTTGATTTTCATTATCACATTTGTCATTAAACAAGTGCATTGTCGGTTTTATTACATTTATTATTGTTGTTAATAAAATTTTTGTTAAAGAGGGAATATCATTGTTTCAGTAATTTTAATATTTTGTTTGATTATCCAACAACATTAATGAACTAACCAATCAGTCAATCTATTTTATTTTATTTTGGTAGCCTTGTGCATATAATTGCATACATACATACATACATACATACATACTGGCATAGATTTGATATAATATGTAATTAACTCGCAGATAGGATGAAATGGCTAAATGAAGGTTAACTCAATTTAAATCCAATTTCAAATGCATCATTCTTAGTAGGGGGCAGAAGTTGTGTATTTGATGTTGCTAATTTAAGTGGCAGAATCTATTGCACTGATCAGAGCATTGGTGAATAGGACAACTCAGATCCAGGGTACTCAAATAAATCTTGCTCACATTTCTATTATTAGCTGCAGGCATGTATTAATATTAATTTTGATATTGACAGCTGATTGTTATTATTCAACCTAATTGTTTATGCATGCCTAGAGTTTGTTGGTGAGTGCACCTCTCTACTTGCTGGTACTGTTTACACACAGAGTTTGCACTGCGGTGTGTAATGGTTGATAAAAACAATTAGGTGGATGGTTTTGTTTTGTTTGTTTGTTTGTTGTTGTTTTGCAAAAAGTTGTGAGAAGTTGTGATTACATATTACATATACACTTACATATACACACGCAAACACACACTTACATACGCACACAAACACACACATACGCAAATAGAGATTATGCACTTAATAACGAGATAAATAATGGAAAAGTACTGGTCTCAATAACATCATTATTATTTTTCTTGCTTATTATTTAAATGAGATGATGACGACGACGATGATGACGATGGTGATGATGTTAAATGTGAACTTGCCACAATGTGGTGACCACTGTGTGGTGGAAATGCGGATGTTCCGCTTCTGGGAGCTGCTACCTTCTACTCATCTCTGCTGCCACCATCTGTTCAAACTATTTAATTGAATGAAGTCACATGGTTTGGATTGTCGTTATTATTAAAATGCGAATTACAGGAGTTAATTGTTCCACTTACTTTGCAACTTCACTTTCTTCTGCTTAAGTTTTATATTTTATTAGCACAACTTTCAAGATGCTAAATTATTTCATCATTGTTGCAAAAAAGTTTACCAGGTAAGAATTTTTATTTTTCTTACCAACTACAGAAGCCATAACATCGACAACAGCGGTCACAGCATCGGCAACAGCAGCCACAGTGTCGACAGCAGCAGCCACAGCGTCGACAACAGCAGCCATTCCCTCAGCCACTCCAAATTCGTAAACAGTGGGAGACAACATGCAGACACCGACCACTGATCAGTTTAAAAGATTGATGAAGGAGGTATGCTGGAGCTGTCAGCTGTGTGTGAAGGAGAGGAGGTTCAGTCAGGTTAGCAAGCAGAACATGATGACGGTGGCCGGCAACTCGTCAGCCAAGAAACATCTGAACAAGAATCTCAGAGTGAAGTGCTGCGTGGATGCTGCTGCTGATGCTGCTGCTGCTGCAGGAGACTGCTGCAACGATTGCGACGACCCCTGCCACCAAAAAGACATTAATCTTGGATCTGTTCTTAGTAGCAATAGTAACGTTAATAGCAATAGTAATAACGTTGATAAAGAAATTGAGGATGATTTTGTTATCGTTGATGGAGATGGTTTGATATTAGATGAAGATCTGTCTCTGAAAAACTTAACAACAACAGCGGCAGCAGCAGCAGCTACTTGTACTGCGTCCACTGCAACTACATTTGCTGAACAGCATCAGTCAGAACCGAATGAACGTGCCAGTTCTGGTTTTGAAGAGATGTCGTCAACATCATCGCTCGCAAGGAATGGTAAGCAGCAGACCAGCAGCGACAACTCGATTGTTTCGGGACAAGTTGCAATCACAGGACACCTCGGACATTCGAGTAACACTTGCGTTGATGAAGTTGCAAAGGGAGAGGTGGAGAATGATTATCAGGAAGACGTTTTCTTCGATCATCACGTTCGTCAGATTCAATTGCACTAGTTTTTTTTCTGCTTATTGCTTTTTAACTTTAAACCCTTTTCGCGTTGATTGTTTTAGTTGGCTGACTGGTTGGCTGACTGGTTGGCTGACTGGTTGGCTGACTGGTTGGTTGACTGGTTGGCTGACTGGTTGATTGACTGGTTGGCTGACGTTTGCCATGCTGGCTGTACATTGTGGTCACAGGCGGGTTACTCATTGGCTGGAACTCAACTGATGAAGAACAACGTGAAGCCCCACAGGGAGTATGAGGACGACGACGACGACTGCTTGAATCACGTCTACCACATCCTTGCTTGCCATCCAAAGTTCTACGAATGCTTCACCTCGTGCCACAACCACATCCTCTATGGCTACGGACCACTGCCGCATCAACAAAGGCATTACCTGGCCATTATGGTCAGTTCGTCCTCGCTGTTGTTGATGTTGATGCTGCTTGAATAAATTTAATTTGTTGGTGGTGGGTGTTGCGACTCACCCCAGATGCTATCTTTTGATGACGTAACAATGAGAGCAGCACCGGTCGCCACCACCACCACCACCAACGACGACGACTAGTGGTGACAGGTTATGAAACTGAACACACAAATGCATGCAGGCAGCTTCGCGCCACACCTGCACCTACTTGGTCTCCATGCTGAAGAACGAGTACCTGACATTGGGAGGCTGCCCTGACTGGTTGGAGAGCGTTGAAAATGTGCCCAAGAAGTTGAGGAGTTTGAATGTGTTGAATGCTTTGATGGCCCACCGGCCCTGGTTACTCAACTACAAACATGTTCAGGTTGGCTGGTCGTCTGCTTTGCTGGCTGATTGGTTATTTGACTGACCAATTAAATGCTTCGTTGTGTTTTGTCAGGTTGTGCAGATCTGTTTTGTGTTATTTTGTATCAGGTTATGTTGCATAGGGTTTTTTTTTACGATTCTCATTTATTCAATGTAGCCAACGTAGCTAGCTAGGACTGATAACGAATGCTTGCTAAAGTTAAGAGTGAAGAACGACGCAACAACCTGCAGGAGATCGTGACGGCCAGCGATGAGAAGTGGATGATTTCAGAGCTGGGCCAGGCCGCCGTAATCCTCGCGCATTTCCATTCGCTGGCAAGTTTCGTGATGGCTTCTGGTATTCATCTGGTACCCAACGACAGGGGTTCAACTAGTGCCCAAAGTTGTGGGGGCGCTTCTTCGTCTGGATCGGAAGAAACTGATTCAGTGTCTTTGGTTTGGATTTAAAATTTTTTATTATTTTTTTATTTTCTTCTTTTTATTTGTGATTTATTCTGTTGCTTGCAGTCGCTAAAATTTCATTTGAATAATAACAATGGCTTTAATTCAATCTGAACCTCTACAAATTGTTGTTGTGAGGGTCGTTCATGAGTCTACTCTTCATTTCAGTCATCCGATATTGAGGTAGATTCAATCGTTGAACGAATGAAGAAACTGCAAGAAACATCTGTCATGGTTACCTGCAACAGATCATCATCATCATCAGCAGCAGCAGCTGCTGCTACGGAGTCCACTGTGAAGAAGAAGATAAGTCCTGAAGTTTTGTTGGAGCATTATGAAGACATAGAATGTCAATCATGTCTCTGTGAGTTTGTTTGGCTGTCGTCACTAATATTCTTTTTATATTGTTTGTCACCGTTGTTATCCTCATTTCTTCACTCCTTCACTTCCACCTACTTTAACTTTCTCAGTGCCGTTCAGCAAGAACAAATCTAATCAAAAGAAGCAGCAGCAGCAGCAGAATTATTTCCAGAACTTTTGTGAGAACATCAATTACCAATACGAAGATGTCGTTCACAAATGCAGTCCGGACAGCAGCAACAACATTTTTCAAGTCTCTCTCAATTCATTTTAACTCATCAGTTCATCTCGTTAATTTTCTAAATTATTGGTATATTTATTTGATCTCATTTAACCGTGGTACATTCCTTCGTTCATTTGCATTTCCTCATCACGTACCCAACAGATTCGGGACTTTTCCTGGCCAGATCATGGTTTCTGTTTATCGGATCGATTGTACCCTCAGATTGGCCAGTTGCTCGAGGATCGATTCTCTGTCGCCCAACACCTGACCTACAACAAGTTCGTTCGCCACTCATCGCCTCATTAGCCAACCAGTCATGTGATTTATTTATAGCTCGTCAAACAATATTGGTCAATCAGTTTAATGATTTATTTTTGTGTTTTTTCATTGGTTCTGATTCAAATTGTTTTATCGGCGGTTTCAAGAATTTTTATCGACTGAACAGTTCGTTAACTAACTTCAATTTCTTGCGTAATTTTGCACGTCCTGAATGAATGATTGAATGACACGAATGAATGAACTTTCAAACACAGCTTTGGTTACCAGCAAGAGAGAGTGGACACGTCAACCTTCAGACAAGCAGTTTGGAATTTCGTCCAGAGCCTCTATCACATTCGACACGACGGCTACGATTACGCAGTCATCCCGCTCCTGCTGGACAAGAAGACGAGGACTTTTATCAAAACTGTCGCCTGCAGACCGCAGAATGTCACAAAAAAGTTGTTTGAAAGTTTCGGGAAGGAGCTGAGGCTCTCAGAGAAGGTTCGTAACGCTGGGGCAAATAACAGCTTTTACGATTGTTGATATTTTTACTACGCAATTTAACAATAATTTTGATAATCTATGATATCTTAAATAAATGATCAAATAAATGATTTGATGAACTGAACAGATCCACATGAACGTCATTGTGATGGAGGCCAGGGTCCAAGCAGAGATTCTCTATTCACTCAGAACTCTTTCACAATATATGACCAAGTCTTAGTAGTAGTAGCAGTAGTAGTAGTAGTAGCAGCAGTAGTAGTAGTAGTGGTAGTAGCAGCAGTAGTAGTAGTAGTGGTGGTAGTAGTAGTAGTGGTAATTTTAATGACGATGAGCGTGTAGACGAGGATGACTTGAATTGTGCAGCATGCATCTTTTACACATTCTTTCGCTAGTTCATCCATTCACTTATTCGTTTGTATCTGCGATTATTTATTCATTTGTATAACTATTTATTCTTTTGATCCATTTACTTATCCATTCATCCATGTAGTCAGTCGGTCATCAATTGGGAAATTATTTTTCCATTCTTTCATCCGTTTGTTCGTTCATTCAATGAACAATTGAGTAGTTCAACTAATGGACCATCTATCCATTCATCCATCCATCCATCCATCCATTCATCCATCCATCCATCTATCGTGCTATCGTGCTTACTTGGAAGTTATCATCTCATTTTCGTTTCACCTTTAAAATTATTTTCTCTTTTTTTTCTCATAAAAATCTGAAAGTCATTTAGTCACCGTAATTTGGCAGTGATAATTATAATAATTATAAATAATTATAATAATTACTGTTGTGTGATTTGTATTTTAAATCTTATCTGTTAAATTTCTTGTCTTCAGTTAACCTTTAATCGTTTTTATTGCTGCGGTTGTTACCGATGAGTTGTTAAACAGTGGTAATATTATTAATTATTACTTCGTTATTGTTGTAGCAAGTCTCATTCATTATGTTCTTACTGTAACGTCTATTTTAATTTTCCATTGTTTTGTCTAGTGTCATTATATACCTCGCTTCAGCAGCGCTGGTGTTATCTTCATAGTGTGCACCTGAAATTTTTTTAAACCTATTCATTAATGATTTCTAACTGTCTGTTATGTATCGATCATGTTGTTATGTTGATGAGTCTGTGTCATTTCTATCATACATACAATCGTACTATTATTTATGTTGCTTTTGAAAGGTCCCTTCTCGGCAGATGACAAACAGACATCATGTAGTTCAGAACATTTTACTCGTTTGTGTGTTTATTACCTTCACCGAGTAGGTCCACAAATAAACTACACAGCTGTGGGCAAATGATGAATGCAAACTCTTACGATTTCATGGTTGATTATTGAGGCAACGATGATATTTAAGATGATGTTCTTCAAAACGTAATTGAAATTTAGTCTTAACATACTCGAAATCTTTGATATGTTTTCATTCACCGTCACAATATTTTCTGACATTTTCTAAATTCAAGTTTGCATTGCGATGTATTTGTTTTTGTAGTAATTTTCGAATGCTTATATTATCCAAACGACTACTTTGTTTAATTGTGAATCGGTTGTTGCTAATTAAGATAATTTGAATTATGTGATGTGCAGAATGTTTTCAGCATAGTCTGAATTTGGTGGGCTTGTCTGTTTTTCTTCATGTTGTGTGTTCACGATGTTGCTCTAAACATGACTGACGACGTAAACCGTTATAGTTGGACCAACATCCGCAACATGGAAACACCTTCCGACAGAATCATGTGACAATGTGCAACAAACAGTTGGACCACCATTGCTCGGTACATCTACACGCCTCCGCTCTTTGTCGATAATGAATAAAATTATTTCTAACATCTTTAAATGAACAAAATTATTATTTATCGCAGTGTAAATTTATCGAACAACCTTGTCCACATCCCATTATAGCCTCTTAACTGTCCGTGATTAATTTCATCGTCACCATCACATTTTGCGTGCGGTGTGTCCGATACCATTCTAAATACTTTTTATAGCAGCATCCCACAATTTTTTGTATGCATTGACGTATGTGTAATACAAACACATAAATGTATATATGTATATATATATGTTTTATGGAACGAGGTTTTCGTTAGAACAAATTAGGTTATATGTTTTTGCCCATTTGGTATTTATTAACTTTTTAGAAAGTAGTCCAACGGGACGCAACAGTTCGTATTTATTGAGATTTACTGTGATAGTGCGGCTGACTATCATCGCTGATCCCAGTCGAAACAACGTAGTCAGCCACACTACGACAGCGAACATCAATAAATACGAATCGCAGCAAGTTGCGCCGTGTCGAATCACTTTTTAAGAAGTATATATATATATATACATACACGTTTGTTGAAAATTTCTGAGAAAGAATGAACGAACCAACGTATGTCTAACTCGCATGATGTAAAAACTCATAACTGAATACAAACTAATAAAAACAGCCGACGCGTTTTTGTTTAGTTTCTCCCTCCCTCTCACTCACTCACACACACACACAGACGCACACATCCTGATATAAATAAGTATACACTCGAGATACTCCACATACATGCGCACACGTATTCACGCATTAGGAGGCAGAGACGAATGATCTCGTGGCGAGGCCGAGTCTAGGCTATTGTAAGCAGAATTATCAAGTCAGTCACCTAACCGAGGGCACGTGGATTTAACGCTCGTGATGATACAAATGTCTTAAACATGTATACAAAAATATGAAATTTTAAATTGTTTGGCAATTTTAATTCAATCGAAATAAGCAACAAATTAATAGTTTAAACATTCAGCCAATAGTTTGTGCATCAATGATTTTAGCGCCTCTGAAGATAACTCAATAGAGGCACTCTACAAATCTGCAATGATAGTTGGAGCTCAAGCACTCAATCAAATGAGACGACGGCAGTGAGCCATTCTTGCTATTCACTGCCAGTTTTCATTATATTGAGCGCCTTCGTCAAATTTAAAATTGCAGTCGGTGCATCTTCATATTGCAGGGCACTGTTTGCGAATTTGCAAAACTTCATTGCTTTACTGAAATCTTCATGCTTTGGTTGAAAGTTAGTTGCTGATGTATGCCTCTGAGCTGGTTGTGGTTGTGCAGGGGCATCAATGTAATTGTGAGGAAATGTTAATTGCGGAGGTTGCGACGATGAAGATGACGGTTGGGGATAGGAAGGCTGTTCGTTGAAATGTGCAGGTGGTTGGTTGAATGGAGACAGAGAAACATTTCGATGGCCTGGTGATGGATCCAATGGTAAGACTTTATTAATTTGTTGGTTCATAAAATATGGTCGACTGGCCCCCGCATCATCACTTGCAGAGTTGCTAGAGTAGTTAGCAGTGTTCGTGACTGGGTTGGAGGCAGGAGGCAGATTAGCAATTAAACTAGCTGATGATTGTGGCAGCTGAAATTGATGATCTGCAAAAGTAAAACTTTTTTAATGATATGAAACACAGCATTCTAATTGTTACAACTGGACCAACCTGTAGAGATGCCTAACTCGTCTGCAGCTTCGGCCTGGGGTCCGGGTTGTGGAGTTGCACCAACCTTCAGACAGTTGTGGATGTAAGCTGCCTTCCATTTTGCATATTTGCGACTTTTTTCTAGCTATAAATCAATACATACAAATTATAAAACAAAATAAAGCAATCTAGTCAACCTCCAATTTAAGGAACGTAGCCGACAAGCATGTAATTAATGACAAAATCTGTTTAGAAGAAGAAGAAAGCAGACAGACCTCTTCGGGGAGTTCACCAAACGTTGTCAAAACATCAAACAACATTGATGATGTATAAAATGCCTTCACTACGTTTCTAAAAGTTATAAAAACAAGTAAATATAAATGTAATTAATTGCCAACAAAACCTATAAATTGACATTGATAAATATTGCAAAAACACCACCCAAGTAATAAATGATTTGATAAACAAATTAAACAAATTAATATACTGTAAAATAAATACATATGTTATGTTGAATGTAAACTTTTCGATAGAAAACCAATAAAAGGTATGAAAGGCTTCTTACATATAATTCAACAACAAATAAAAATAATGCCACATATGACTAACTTGCCAAAATTACTCTTTCTGTCTTCTGTGTCAGCATAGAAAAAAAGTTTAATAGCATAGTTCTCAACATGCGCCTGCCCGACCAGCTCCGACTGGATAGCTTCATTGTCCTTCAACTGCACTTTCATCTTTATTTATTACACAAAAAGCAAGTATTAATAGCAGAGTTTTCAAAACTATTAAACTTTGCTAAGTAGCCCTAACCAAAAATATAATTAGTAAAGCATAAAAAAATTCTTATGCAATATAAACATAAAATGTAATAAGGAAGCAGGAGACCTCTTCCAAATGTCCCATGAGGAGCCTTAAGAAGTTTCTTGACTCAGGCGACTTCTTATCTATTTCCATGCCTTTCTGCATAGCATAAAGTCTGCCTGTCCATTTCAAATGATACATTTGTTGTTGATAGTAATCACAATATCACATGCCAATATATAATTAATTAAATGATTGTAAGTAAATGATTAGCTGATAATTTACTTGACAATAGAATTGTTAAACAAAAAAATAAGACAAAAACAATGAATAAATCTGAAATCATGAATAATATGATAAAAATATCAATAAATTTATTTTATTTATAATATGATGACTGTTGCTGAAATTATAAATAATCATAAAAATAAATAATTTAATTATAAATAAATTTATTTTCTTATATATAATAAATTATTAATAATACATATATATAACGTATAATTATAGTTATTTATATATAAGTATTTATAATTTATCTATAATTTTATAATAAATAAAATTTTTTTTATTATATGATAATTATCTTTAATTTTTATTTTATATTATAATTATGCTGTTATGACCTGATCGGTAGCTACCTAAAGAATTCAGATAGAGAATAATAAAAAATGTGATAACTGAAAAGTTACATACAGTAGTAGGCAACTACAGGATCCCTCTTGTCATGTTCGGCCGCTGTTTTCAGGTAGTGCTGAATTGGCTTGAAACTTGGTGGCACATTAGAGAGCGAATCGCTCATTTTCGATTGCAATATAATATACTTTATCTATAATTGAAGCAAACTGTTATTTTCTTGATTTTCATCCAACAGCGTAGCTTCAAGCCACGTTCAAACAAGCCTATCAAGCTTACTTAGGCAATCGTTAAATTAGGATTTAGGAATCACTGAGGAAGATTTTTTGGTTAAAAGTTAAAGAAGATAAGTGGTTAAATCACCAACCGCTTAACATATAAAAATTTACTGAACACGTAGAGGGCTATTATCTTCCAAAAACCATAGGCATCAGCGCACAAACACCGATATAATTTGAAAAGGTGCTAAATATGTGATAGATGGATACACACTTGAACACATTGGCAGTTGAATACGAACTACGAGATATGCGGCATCCTGCTGGGCACGGCAGTTTGTTCGCCTGGTTCGGCGTCCTAAGATACCTGGCCATGTTCAAATCATTCAATGTTGGAGTTTTCATTCATCTATCGCTTGCTTCTCTCAAATATTCACTATTTATATTTATTAATGTTTGTTATAATAACAATTTATTTTATTTAATAATATTTGTTAATATAAATATTCATTTTGTTAAAATAAACATTTATTTATTGTTGAGCATTTGTTTGATTCATGACATCAATTTTAAAATGTTATTCACCACCAAGGTGTTGATAGTTACATTGAAGGGAGCAGCTCTAAGTGTCTAATGCCTTCTTTATCGCATTCTCAATATGTGGCTGGATTGTACTCGGTCCCTAGCACAGCAAGGTTTGCTTCTCCACCCGTATCATCCTTCTATCTCTCTCTCTCTCTCCTTTTTTTGTTTCTTTTCTGTCTCTTTCTTTACATTACAAAAAACTGTTTCTGCAAGTTATTCTTATCAAATAAAATTTGTTTCCCCGTTTAAATTAATTTATCACTAATGATTTGAAATAATTAGACAACAATTATTATCGCGCTAACTCCAAACAGCCAAACACACAAGTGATGATGTAAGATACTTTATGTGCAATACATACATACATACACACACATACATACATACACACACACACACACACACACACACACACACACATACATACATACATATATACAAGCAGACAAACGCACACATACATACATACAAACACAGTTCCGAGAACTGACGACCTCTCTGGAGTGTCTGTATAGTTTGATCAACGGAGACGACATCTACACCACATTAGCCACCATGAATCAGGCTCATTCCCTTTCTACGTAACTTTCTACGCAAATCTCTCATGACAAATATTAAATTACAAAATACTTCATTGATATTTCGATCATTTGATTACAATTTTCTTTAAAGTAAGTAAATCATGAATAGTAATGAGCACGAATGAATATGTATCTAGGTTGTGTTATTTAAATAAGTGAATGACATGATGAATAATAATGAGCAGGTGAGCACCGGAGTCTGGTTATTCAGCAGGTTGTACCTCTACATGTTCATCTCCCTCTTCATCTACGTCGTTCTCAGCATGTTCATCACCATCATCGCTGACACCTACGATTCAATCAAAGTATATTCTTATAGCGAATCATTTCATTTCTAATTATCATAGTGGTGGCATTCCGTTTTCATAATGTTATTCTCATTCGCAGTTCATTCGGCACTGTTTGGCGAGTTCATATTTAGATATTGCATCGGCCACATTTTTCAGTATTCGTTTTGACACCGGCGATACTTTTAATCAAACTTGAAGTCGCCGATACATTCTAGGCTGAAAAAAATCGATACTACTCAATACCGATACTCTTGAACGACAAATAAGTGGAAATTTTTTTAAACGAGTTGGCAACATTCATGTTTACCCCAAACATTTTCTGTCGTAATTTTACCTACAATGAATATATGTACGATCATTTTCTGCTGAAATAATTTCGTTTGTTGCAATGAATTTTTAAAAGACTGGACAAAAAAACTGTCCTTTTTATTTTGAACAAATCTGGACTCTGCTTTTTTTTGGACTCCAAAATCCGGTTCAGAACAGATACATTCATTCTAACTTCAAATTAAATGGTTCAGATAATTTATCGCTATGCACTCATTTCATCCTATACCTATATTAACTACCGAATTAAAATAATGATGATGAAACAACAGCTGCGTATCTCGTGGCAGCGTTTGAGAAATACAAAAGTATTGCTGTTACAATATAATAGCGCTGTCGCAATCCTGCCAGTTGAACGAATAATTTGTGCATCAGTTAAAAAGAAGCGAGTGAACGATGTGTATGACGTTCATTGACGAATGTTCCTAAATGAACTTAAGCGTTTGGTTGTTGATGCTGATGGTTATGTATTTAATTAAATGGCGATTGACAACCCGGTAGCACCCAGACAGCCACGAATATTTAAAGAGTCGACTGCAGAGGTTCGCAGACGAATGTTGCACGAGAGCGTCTCAGCTGTACAGCAGGCCAGAATTTCAACATCTGCACAGCAGAAGGAACTTCATCTTCGCCAAATTATTGAAATTGTTCGGTCATAAGCGAAGGAGCGCGAGGTAGGTTGATTATTTCTTTCTATGAACTATTTCCATGACTCCAATACAATTATTCAACTCTTTTATTTAATGAGCTTATAAGTAATAAATTAAATAAATAAAAATAATTTGAACCTTGCTGGCAGGAGCAGTCTAGTGGTAAATGAATCTCGAGATGAAGAGCAGTCCCTCCTCACCAGTTCTTGAAAGCTGACATCATCTTGTTTCTTCGTGCCGATAACTAGGACGTTAATTTTTATTTTTTCGATTTTGTATTTATGTTATTTAATGTCGGGTTTTATCAAAAATTACGATTTTAAATTCCGAAGAGTAAATGTGATGAGCCGTTCATTTTATCTTCTACTGGTCTGTTAAAGATTGAATTATTTTTTAATTTTATAAATTTTTTATATTCTTATTTATATGCACAACAAACAACTTCTATGAACATAATCTAATTACTTTGAAATGTTGAACACTAGACGAATTTAATTTAACGCAATTGTTAAAATCACACAAGATCACCGTTTCATAATTTAATTTTCTGGATTTGCTTTAGTAAACAGAATAGCCAGCATTCATCACCCCTCTCCTATCGCATTTTTTTCATTGTCCAAGTGACTAGTGGCAAGCCAAGACAGGCTCATCCATTTTATTTTATTCTAAGTGACCATTTGACGACACAAACAGGTTCAAGTGTTATAGTTCAATTCCTTCGTAATTTAAATCAGTAGCACAGGTGTCATCTGGTAAACTCTCCTAACAACCGTATATAACACTATATACAATCAATAACTTTACATAACTATATATAAATCTATATAACCGTATATAACACTATATTATAATAATATATAATCCTATATAACTCTATATAACTAATAATAAAACAAACGAATTCGAATGGTAAAAGTGATGACAGCTGAAGGATAGAAAACATGGATTGCCGCATTCAATGATGACTCTTCTATTTGTTTCACTCCGTCGTTCACTCTGGCAAATAAAAAGATATTCTTTTAATTATAAATTAATAATAAAAAAAAGAATATCAATATTCTTTTAAACTGAGCTAAACTTCACCACAATTAACTTGCAATCATCATTCCAATTGTTTTCAGGATAAAATTTATCTAAATATAATACAGACATGCAATTTATGATACATGAAATGAGTAAACCATAATTTAAAAATTAAGTAATAAGCTATTTGGAGGTACCTTATTATCAAATTAGTCAATTGATGTGCAAGTTCAATTTTGCAAGAATAAGATGGAGTGATGAAGAGGAGGATGAAGGAAGAGATCAAATAAAATTTAATAAATAGGATGGGTAATTCGTTGCAAATGCTAACGTAACCCATGTTTTAGAGTATTTGCGCTAAAAAATGCAACCAAGAAAGACAGAATCGCATTTTTAAGAAAACAAGTAAAGAAGAAGCACAAACTTGAACGGCACTTAGTAAGAAGCCCCCTCGCCACGACAAGGCAGCCGTTCATGAGGGGGTTAATAATAAAACGACAGTCTAGAAATAATAAGTAACGAAGGTCTAGAAATAATATACAACTTAACTAAAATATAACGAAAATAATATTGTGTTGATTGTTGTGTTCGATTGATGTTGTTGATGTTGTGTTGAACAAAATACAATACAAATAAACTAGAACGTAAGAAAGAAAGAAGGAATAGAGTCCCTAACTTACCTATGTTTACTAAATTAACTCACCTACCTATGATCAATTAGCTCAACTTACGAATTAATCCTACCTATTTGTACAATTACGAAGAAAAAAATAAGGAAAAGAGAATAAAACATCAAGCAAACAAAACAACGAATATATATATGTATGTATGTATGTATGTGTTTGTGTGTGTGTGTATGACCGCGCAATAATAATAAAATAAACGAACAAATCTAGAAATAATAAGTAACGAATAAAATAAACGAATAAATCTAGAAATAATAAGTAACGAATGGTCTAGAAATAATAAACAACTTATCTAAAATATAACGAAAATAATATTGTGTTGATTGTTGTGTTTGATTGCTGCTGTTGGTGTTGTGTTGAACAAAACAATACAATACAAATAAACTAGAACGTAAGAAAGAAAGAATAGAGTCCCTAACTTACCTATGTTCACTAAATTAACTCACCTACCTATGTTCAATTAGCTCAACTTACGAATTAATCCTACCTATTTGTACAATTAAGAAGAAATAAGTAAAGAGAATAAAACATCAAGCAAACAAAACAACGAATATATGGATGTATGTATGTATGTGTGTGTTTGTGTGGGTGTATGTATGACCGCGCAATAATAATAACAATAAACTAAACGAACAAATCTAGAAATAATAAGTATCGAATAAAATAAACAAACAAATCTAGTAATAATAAGTAGCGAATGGTCTAGAAATAATAAACTTAACTAGACCTAACTAAAATATAACGAAAATATTATGATGATTGTTGTGTTTGATTGCTACTGTTGGTGTTGTGTTGAACAAAACAATCAATACAAATAAACTAGAACGTAAGAAAGAAAGAAAGAATAGAGTCCCTAACTTACCTATGATCACTAAATTAACTCACCTACCTATGTTCAATAAACTAGAACGTAAGAAAGAAAGAAAGAATAGAGTCCCTAACTTACCTATGATCACTAAATTAACTCACCTACCTATGTTCAATAAACTAGAACGTAAGAAAGAAAGAAAGAATAGAGTCCCTAACTTACCTATGATCACTAAATTAACTCACCTACCTATGTTCAATTAGCTCAACTTACGAATTAATCCTACCTATTTGTACAATTAAGAAGAAATAAGTAAAGAGAATAAAACATCAAGCAAACAAACAACGAATATATGTATGTATGTGTGTGTGTGTGTGTGTGTGTGTTTGTGTTTGTGTGTGTATGACCGCGCAATAATAATAATAAAATAAACGAACAAATCTAGAAATAATAAGTAACGAATAAAATAAACGAATAAATCTAGAAATAATATGTAACGAATAAAACATACGAATAAATCTAGAAATAATATGTAACGAATAAAATAAACGAATAAATCTAGTAATAATAAGTAACGAACACGTCTAGAAATAATAAATAACTTAACTAAAAAATAAAATAAAGAAATAAAAAAAGGGACCAGGCGCTAAGGGAATGCCCTAAAGCGCCCGGTCGGATTTCAACGCATTTTCGGCTCCTATTTATACCAGTTCCATTCATATATTCTTATCATTTCAATCATTGACATCATTAAAAAACTTTATTTAATGTATATGAAACATTATTATAGGTGCTTAACAACAATATGTTAACTATACTAGAATGAATTCAACGACCGCCTACGGACTTCCTGATGGGAAGTTTCGAGTATGTGTATACGTTTAGCTAGTTGAATTCAAATTTAATCGAGATCACTCCTTTTTCACATAACTAT